CTTAACCTCTCTCTGGATTATCTACCCTTTCCCTTGACTAAAACTTTTAAAACCCCTACCTACTCAAAGCAGTGTCAAGAACAGTAATAGTTAATTAACCTAATCACCAACTACAATTTAATTCTAGGTCACCATTCATTAGGAGAGCAAGATGATGACTTCAAAAATGACTGAAGGAGGCTGGCTAGATGAATCAGTGAGTACAGGCACTTGCCATGCCAGCCTAGAGAATTAAGTTGCATGCCCAGAACCCACCTAAAGGTGGAAAAAGAACAACTCCACAAAGTTGTCTTCTGACCTCTCCACACGGGCGCTGTGTCACAGACGCCCATACACACACACACACACACACACACACACACACACACTAAAAATCATAACAATAATTTTTAAATAATTTAAGTTTGTGAAGTAGATAAGAAGACTCAAAAGGATGAAGTATAAAGTATTTCTCTGGTTCTGTCAAAAATATGAGAGAAATGTGCAATCCAACATAAAAATATATTTTTAGCTGCAATGCGTCTTCACCATGAGCAAAATTAGAAAATAGTTGAAGAGATAAACAGCCCTATTCACCTGACACCTTGCTAAAGATAGGACAGGGGTGACTTTATGTTTAATTATGAGTATTGAAGAAAAAAATTAAGGAACAGGATCAAAATCAGATCCGCCCCCCAAAATAAGGGCGCAAGAAATAAGCATGGACCGCCCAATTAAGTCCCTATTCGGCTTAAAAGTAGCAGTTCCACTTTACTGAGCTATCCAGGGTTCTCAATGGGGGTGAGGACGGGGGCACCCAGAAGTCTCCACCAGTGGTCCAGCAGGCTGGAAAAGGAGGGCAAAGGAAAACGTGCGGGGCGACTCCTTAGCGACCCGTCCGCGGCTGCCGATGGATCAGCAAACAACCCAGAACCAAAAGAACTTTCTCAGGGTCCAGCCGAGCCCTCCCGCCTCGCTCCAGCTGTTACCTGGCACATCCTCCGTGCCCTCCATCAACATATCCTTCGTGAAGTTGGAAATCTGGTCAGTGAGGGACGCCAGGCTGCCCCCTACTTGACCCAGAGACTGGCCCAAGCCGGAGCCGAGGCCCCCGAACCAGGAGGACATCGCTGCGGGTGGAGAGCACGGTGTCCGCTGCAAATGTCCCTGGACGCCCGCGGCTGGTGTGGATCCAGATACCAGGACTCACAGGACGCGGCACTCCCACCACCGGCCGCGTCAAAGCCGAGGCCCGGCCGGGCGCTTCGCCAAGGGCTCGCCGCAGTGGGCGCCGAACGGGACCTCTGCCCCTTCCCACGACTTCCCACCCAACGGCTGGAGCACTCTTTGTCAACTTTAGTGACTTTCATCAGTTTCCTGGGACAGTCCTGCCAACTCAACGCCGGCCGCCACAACAGCGCCGGGAAAGTGGCAGCGACTGTTGAGATCCTGGGTGACGGGTGGCGTAAACGGCCGCTGTCTGACGCGTCCTAGGCGCGAAGGACTGTGGGATTGCGGAGGTCCGCTTGTGGGCGGGCAAGACCGGTAGTTTCTGCTTAACCAGCGGGAGGTGGAGACGGAAGAGGCGGTGGAAGCCTGGCGCTTTCCAACTGCACAACTGCGTTTGTTTGTAGGCGGAGGCAGCCCTTGGGGGACGCCTCCTTAGTCCTACCTACAGGAGCTATTGCAGGGCTGCGAGACAATTCGACAGGGTCCTCCCATCACACAGGGAAGCCCACCCACTTTACTCTTTTTTCCAGGCTTTGTGAGTCCGCTCCGTGCCAGAGCCTTGGAAACAGCTACAGAGCTGCAAAAGCAGGATGCAATTCAAGAGTCCAAGCAGAAAGCACGTTTTTATTTTATTTTGTTTTCAGTTTTTCGAGACAGGGTTTCTCTGTGTCGCCTTGTCTGTTCTGGAACTCTTAGATCCACCTGCCTCTGCCTGCCTCCCGAGTGCTGGGATTAAAGGCTTGTGCCACCAATGTCCAGCCCCGCCCCCATACCCTCCACCCCCGGACCCCCACCTCCCACCCCTGCCTGCCAGTTTCCTTGTACATAAAGGAACATTAGGAATATCCCCAGTATGTGGAATCTGATGATTCCTTACCGAATTATCTGTTCCTGGAATCTCACCAGATATCTATTTGAATGTCTTCAGGGGGTTTTGAAGCTTCGGTGTCCCAGAACAAGGAATTGGACAGGGTCATGTGGATAGTAGCAAGGAAGGCGAGAAAAGGCATCGAGAAAAAGCACAAACCAAAGAAAAGAAGCAAACCAGAACGTTGTCTGTAGTGGTGGGGTTGATGAGCTACATCTTCAACTCGATTTGATGGAGAATTTTTTGGTGCTGAGGATTAAGTCCGGAGACTTGTGCACACCGTGCATATAGGCTTAGCCACAGTCTCAACCTTTGTTTGAAACAGAAGCTCCTGTAACTCAGATGGGCTTCAAACTGACGACCTTTCCACTTCCACCTCCTGAGTACTGGAATTACATGTACCATCATGTACAACTTTGGGGGCAGATGGGGTTTGGGGTGTGTGTGTGTGTGTGTGTGTGTGTGTGTGTGTGTTTGGACCTCAATAGCTATGAAGCCAGGCCTGCAAGTCGCTCTGTAGACAAGGCTGGCCTCGAATTCACAGAGATCCACCTGCCTCTGCCTTCTGTGTGCTGGGATTAAAGTTAGGAGCCATCACCACTTGGCACAACATTGTTTAAATGTAGCGTGCATCACCCTCACATGACTAACACGTCTACTGTTATTCTGGGCACTGAGGATGGAGCAGGATAAGATGCATGGTCTGTGAGCTTATAAAGACTGTGTCTGAACAGGAAGGCACAACTAGACAAAACGTAGTGTTAGACAAGAGCTGACGACTGACGTTAGGGGGAAAGGAAACGGGAATGGGATGGTAAGTGGGGCACTGGTGAGGCAGAGGATGGTTAAGGCCTCAATGATAAGGGAATCTTGAGTAGAGACTCTAAATAAGTGAGATATACAGATACAGGAGGTCTAGACAGGAAGAGACAACTAAATACAAAGTTCTTTAGGCTGGATATCCTGGCCAGCTTTGAGAATTTATAAGACGAGACCGTCTTGAGCAGAATGGATTGGGAAGATTTGTAATCAAAGGCCTAGAAAGCATGAAGAAGGCAAGTCACAGGGACTGGAAGGCCATTAACAGGACTCTGACTTACATTCTATGTACGATGACAAGTGACATGAACTCAGAACTTAGTTGGGTTCCTGAGTGATTGAAATGTTTAGCAACTGTAATTAAGCTCATATTTTCTGTAGGCTTAAATCCTCTGGAGCTCCATGTCGGTCGGAATACTGTCCAAGAATAGAACTGTATGAGAATTCTGAGTGTTTGTGGAAAAAAAAAAAACAAGCATCTTGTGACCTCCTTTTCTTCAAAAAACAGGGAATTTTTCTTGGAATGTGCTTTTGTGCCCCTCCCAGATGCAGCAGATACATACAAATAAGATACAAATGAAATACTTCAGATTATTCATTACAACTGGCTATTGTTTAGATGCCACTATGGGAAGAAGCTGGTTTGGGCACATAAGGGTTGCCCATCACCTCTGACTTGCCCTTGTGATTGTACACTTTACACATGTGACTCCTCTTGACCTTCAGAGTGTAAATTGTCTCATGCTCTGAATAAAATTAGCTATCACAGGGCTGGAGAGATGGCTCAGTAATTAAGAGCACTTGGTGTCTTCCAGAGGTCCTGAGTTCAATTCCCAGCAACCATATGGTGGCTCCCAATCCATAATGAGATCCAGTGCCGTCTTCTGGTCTGCAGACAGACATACAGGCAGAATGCTGTTTACATAATAAATAAACCTTTTAAAAATAAATAAATAAATAAATAAAATTGACTATTTATGAGGCTTTAGTCCACCTCATTTCTCGGCTCCATTCTCTCAGGACCCCCCACCTCGAGCGAGGTAAACACGTGTTCATAAATTCACACTGTGCTACAAAATTAATGTAATTAATGAAGAAAATGCACAGTAAACTTTTCCACCATTTATTAGCACAAATGTTACCCAAAATCAGTTGTTCTCAAACCTTCCTAATGCTGCAGTCCTTCAATATAGTTCCTCATTTGTGGTGACCCCACAACCATAAAATTATTTCATTCAAGCTAGGCGCACGCCTTTAATCACAGTACTCAGGAGGCAGAGGCAGGCAGATCTCTGTGAGTTGGAGACCAGCCTGGTCTACAGAGCAAGTTTCAGGACAGCCAGGGCTACACATAGAAACCTTGTCTTGAAAATATTTGATTACTAGCTCATATCTGTAATTTTGCTACTGTTATGAGTCATAACGTAAATGTATAGGATATCTGATATCAGACCCCCAAAGGGGGGTGTGACCCACATGTCGAGAAACACTGATCTACAACTTTCTTTGGGGTGATTTTTTTTCCATGTAATGCCCAAGTGCTTTAATGTATTACCTGATAAGTAGCATGATATGGTCTCTCGATGTAGTTCAAAAAGATGGAGGGAACACAAGACAAGAACTGTCAGAAACCAGGTTGGAGATGGCTCAGTTAAGCAAAGTGCATATTTCACAGACTTGACAACCTGAGTTTGATCACCAGAATCATATAAGGCATGGTAGCTCATGTATGTGCCACAATGCTGGGCAGAGACAGGAAGAATCACTGGGGCTTTTTGACCAGCCAGGCTAGCCTAATTGGTGACTTCTAGGTCAGTGAGAGACCCTGTCTCAAAGAAACGTACGGCTTTCCTGAGGGTGACACCCGAAGTTGTCTTCTGGCCTCCACACACACACATGCATACATGCACACACATACATTAAAAGAATTGTCAGAGCCGGGTGATGGTGGCGCACACTTTTAATCCCAGCACTCAGGAGGCAGAGGTAGGCAAATCTTTGTGAGTCTGAGGACAGTCTGGTCTACAGAGTGACTTCCAGTACAGCCAGGGCTACAAGAGAAACGCTGTCTTGAAAAACCAAAAAACAAAACAAAACAAAACCCTCACTTTGGCAGCACAGATACTAAAATTGGAACGATACAGAGAGGACGAGCACGGTCTCTGCACAAGGATGACACACAAATTCGTGAAGAATTCAAAAAAAAAAATTGTAAGAGGCCAGGCATGGTCAGGTGATCTCTATGAGCCCCAGGCCAGCTTGGTCTGCATAGTAAGGTCAAAGCCAGCCAGAGTAACATGGGGAGACCCTGTCTCAAAAAATAAAATTGTAAGTAATGGGGAAAAAACAAAATGATAAGATATTGTCAGATATTAGTCATGATTGAAATTGGGTGGAGTACACAGCTGTTCACTGTACTAATTATATTTTTACACGTGTTTGAATGAATTTTTTTCTAGTAAGCTTAAAAATATACATTTGATAACATTTGACTTTAAAATGCTGTTCTGGTTTGGTTTTCTGTTGCTGTTAAAAAAACAAAACAAAACAAAAAACACCATAGCCAAAAACAAGTTGGAGAAGGAGAGAATTTATTTCATTTTACAACTCCTGAGTTACAATCCATCACTGAGGAAAGTCTCAGCAGGAACGCCCAGAATTTGCATAGTAGAGGCCCACCTGCCTAGGGATGGTCTCACCCACAGTGGCTGATCCTCCTGCATCAAATAAAATAAATAATAATAGTATCCACAGACATGTCCACAGGCCACTCTGATGGAGGCAATTCTTCAACTGAACCTCCCTCTTCCCAGGCAGTCAAGTTGACATCCAAAATAAATCATCACAGATATCTCTTCCCTTTCCTCCCAAAGACCCCAATAGTTAGCTTGAGTGTTTCTGATCCTCACAAATACCCCAATAGTTAGCCTGAGTGTTCCTGATTCTCACAGACACCCCAATAGTTAGCCTGAGTGTTCCTGATCACCATTCAGTAAGTTGCAAGACCAACACAGCACAATTAAACACATCAGAAAAGCTCCAAGCCTCAGTGGTTCCATACTATCAGCTGTGCCATTCCCCCTTCCTCCCACCCCCATCTCACTATGTAACCTGGTAACTTGGATTTGCTACACAGACCAGGCTGGCCTCAAATTCAATAGAGATCTACCTATCTCTGCCTCCCAAGTGCTAGGATTAAAGACATATGCTTCCACTTCCAACACTTCCTCATTAATACTAAATACTACCCATTGCCTTTATGAAAAACAGGATATTTTTTATGTCCCTATTCCCTTTCCTTCTGGGCTCTAAATAGTGTTACAATCACTGAGAAGTCATCAATGTTTACATTGCATGGTTTGGTGTGAGATGTTCTGAAGTATTGTTTGACAACTTCATCGCTGGCTGGTGGCACTGTTTGGGGAGCTTACGGAATTCTTTAAGTGAGGCCTAGCTGTAGTACTAGGGGCAGGTCTTGGAAGGTTACAGGCCAGCCTCAAAACCTGTCTAGTCTTGTTTCCTGACCTGCCAAGATGGAAGATTGGCTGTAAGGAATGTTATTTAAGGTATGTTCCTTTTGTTGATGCTTCATTTGTTTAACTGTGTGAAGCTGTGTGCCTGTCTAAAACACCTGATGGTCTAATAAAGAGCTGAACAGCCAATAGAGAGACAGAGGAGAGAAATAGGCGGGGCTGGCAGGCAAAGAGGCTAGTTATGAGAACTAGGGATGGGGGTGGGGGAGATCTGGAAACTAGAAAGGAAAGAGGCCTGTCATCCAGCTACACAGCCAGACACAGAGTAAGAAGGAAAGAAAAGGCATAGAGAAACAGAGGAAGGTAAAAGCCCCGAGGTCAAAGACAGATAGGATAATTTAAGTTAAAAGCTGGCAAGCAAACAAGGCAAGCTAAGGCCAGGCATTCATAACTAAGAATAAGTCTCTGTGTGAGATTTATTTGGGAGATGTGTGGTGGGCCCCCCAAACCAGAGTAAAATACCAACATGTGGTAGCTGCTATGCCCTCCCTGCCATGATGGCCTGTACCTTCAGAAACTGTCAGCCCAAACTGATCATTTCTAAGTTGTGTCTTGCCAGGCATTTTGTCACAGTAGCAAGAAAGGCAACTAACAGATTATATACACTTTGTTCATTACTACCAAGTTATGTAGCCCACAGGCACAAGCCTTGCGAACATTCACGTTCTGAATGAGTAGTATTACTCAAGCCTGTTTCTAAGAACCTAGAACAATCCATGGCCAAGGGTAAGCACACAGATGGTTGGTTCACTGAGTGCCACATGAATGAACTTTCTCTGTGGTGACCCGAGAGACAAAGGGTGGCTCAGGTCCGTGGCACAGTGTAGAGAATGGTCAAGGGAAAACAATGCTAGCCAGGCACAATAGCACAAACCTGCAAACCCAGCACTCAGGAGTCTGAAGCAAGAGACCAAATGCTCCAAATCAGTTAAGGCTATATAGAAAATGCCTCAAATTTATAAAAACCAATTATTAATGTGCTTTGTCCCTCAAGGTTAAGAACAACTGAACAATTAAACCAGATTTCCAGGAAGAATGTGGCTGAGGAGATGGTACAGATGTAAAGGCCATTAGGTCTCAAGCAATCAAAGTTGTGGAAGGCTTTCGTATCTGGGATAGGGTGGTAATGTATTTTCTGAGAGGAATCTGTGAGGGCTCCCCGGTCTGCTTTATACACCACTGCAGCTGCATAAAAACATGCAACTCCACAGACAGATGCTTCAAGTTCCAGCTACAGTGGGTCTGACTGTGACCTGAAACTGACTTTGGGAAACGCTCTCACAAGACAGAGATGCAGCTGTGTCTCCCAACAGACTCTGAATAGCAAGGCCATGAATTAACAATGAACACAGAAAGGTTAATAGAAAAGCAACCACTCTCTTTATTTAATAATCTCTGATATTTAAAATACAACTCATTAACATCCACACCAACAGAACCTTCAGTGTTCAACAGTGCTTTGGGAAGCCCAGCTTTCGAAGAAGCAGACAGACGGAAGACCTGTGGAGTGGCAGTCCATAACTCGAGGAGACCGGGCATATGAGAAGGCCTGCAGAGTCGGGTCCTGAGCGAACTGCACCGCCACAGTGCATCGCATTGGCCAGAAGACAATGCCTTAGTTTCAAATATTTTATTTATACAGAACAGTCATTGTTTAAAAAAGTTATTCCTATTTAGTCCAGTGTTGTAAAAATTAGATAATCACATTTCAAATGTCTGTCATCCTCTAAAAAAAAAATTAAAAATCCAGTAAACATACCACCTTTAAACTATGCAAGAGACAACTGAGTATTTCTTAAATAACTGCATTTTCCACACACTTTCCACTACAACTTTGTCTATGACTGCAATCTTAAAATGTGTATTGGTATTATTAAACATCCATAATAAATTACATAAATTTAGGGAGTACATTGTTTTGTGTTAATTCTTAAAATGACTGACCATTATAGAAATAAAAAATACCCTCAAATTTCATTCATGAAAGACTACAACAAAACTTATTATGTTTAACACTTTGGAAAAAAATACAAACCAGATTTGTTTCTTTAGCTCATTATAAACTAACTAGGATTGAAGGGAGAGCTTTTGTTTTAAATATGAAAAACAGAAATTATCTACACTACTGATTAGTTAATCCAATCTGGTGTTTCTTGATTAAGGTCACATTACCACAGCTCTACACATGGGTTAAAGCACAGTCAACACTTCACTTTCAAAGTACTCCCCTTAAGGCTCTCTAGATACAGACTGCATGTCGAACTTTGTTCTTTTGCAGCGGTAAGGACTGAATGCAAGGCCCAGGCCAGTAGGCAGCTGCCCCACCGCTGCTGAATTTACAGCTGGAGTTAAAGGACTCCAGATTAACCACTCAGTCCTCTTACTACTTCAACAAAACATCAGGATTTCCCAACTTAAGTATCTCAGATAGCAGAGTTTGGTCCTGCACTACCCACTTTGGACTTGTGCAGGTCATAGGGGTCAGTTGCAAGAATTTTTTAACTCTTGGCACTGGCATGATTTAAAAATAGTATCAAACATGCAGGTATTCAAAATATGTGGTTTAGACTCTGACATGAATAAAACTTAATTTTAATCAACTTGGTATTAAATAAAACAATGCATACTACTCAATTTGAGCATTCTTCCTCATTAACTTTGGCTTCATCAAGAAAAATTCAAGTTTGCAGGGGGAAAAAAGCACCAGCTAAAATACCGTCTGTGAATTGTAAATGATTTTATCTTAAAAGGTTAATGCAGAATTTACCTACACCACTGTATCAAACAATTTATATCAGTGGAATATCTGCATATTGTTGTCTTTTGTTTGTTTGCTTGTTTTGTTTTTGTAATTTATGGTTTAGGCCACAGGGCAGCTATTCTGAATTTTTAAAATATAAGTAAGTCCATGACTTCCCCAAATGGAAAAGTGGTCTTTCCAAAGTTTTTCTTCTTTCTTTTATTAAGATAAGGTCTCACTGTGCAGCTCTAACAGGTTTAGAACTCACTATATGTAGACCAGGCTGGCCGTGAACTCAGAGAGATCTACCGGCATCTGCCTCCTGAGTGCTGGGATTAAAGGTGAGCACTACCATGGCTGGCTTTCCAAAGTGTTCTTACATTTGCTTACGACACTAGAATTACAACTGTACATAATTTGATCTGGGAGTACAAGCTACACATTAGAAAAATTAGGAAAAATAATACCAGTAGTTTAAATATGAAATATCAGGTGCTCCCAATTGGTAAAAAGAGAATGGAAATGTCAGTCAAGTCCATAACACAGCTGTGACGGCGGATTCCCTTGCCCCTGACTGTCCTGCAGCACTGTCCAGTAAACGGCAGCTCCTGTGTATGAGCTAGAGCTTCATGAACTTTTGTATACTGTGTTTATAATAAGCATTGGCATTTTTCATACTTGCTACTCATTAATAATTAAATCTAAAGATTCAGGTAAGCCTAGGTCAATCCAAAAGAAATGGCAGTTCAAGGGTGATTTGAATTTGTTTTGCCAAATACAACAATTCATAACAAACTAAAAAAAAAACACTCAAAAGAAATTGAGTGTATGCTCAGTTTCTCTTTAAAATGTCTCCAATAAGATATCAACATGATGTATTTCATAAGTGATTTAACTAAGATGTTATGTGAATGTTTTATAAACTCTAAGTTAAAACTGAAATGCATATTGGCTTTCTCATTTTTTTTTTTAACCAGGTTGCTCATCAACCTAACTGTATGGAAAGTTCACTGTGATTTTTCAGAGAAAAAAGGAAAGGCCAATGTTCAGACAATGTGACTGGCACACTGGGGTAGGTACATACTTCAGTTTAACACTTAACTGTGAACCGTAAGAAAGGTTTTCATTCCAACACCCTAAAGTTGCACAATTCTTCTGAACCTTTGTAACTACTAAAAGAGAACTTCATAGATTTTAAAATAAGACTGACTAATTTTTCATAAAACGAACTCCAAAGGAACTTTACTTGGCACAAAATGACTAAGGAAAAAAACCACTCGTTTTGGAACTGGGGCTATAGCTCAGAGGTAGAGTGCCTGCCCAACACACATGAGGCCCTGGGTTCAATCCCCAGCACAGTCAAACGAAACAATCTGTCCTATCCAAGAGGAAACTATTTCATTATCACAAATAAAAATATTTGTATTTTTTTGCAGTTAGACAACAATAAATCCTATATCAAAAAACTTTCCCTGATAAAATGTGTGCAGAACACACACCAGTAGAGCAATACACCTTTCTTCACCTTCCTAAGCTGTTGGCTAAAATTTCTTCTTGGATTTTACTTATGTACAAGTCAACGCTCCAAAGAGGACAGAGACGGAGGGAGGGAGGAAAGAAGGAAGGGAGGGAGGGGGGAAGGGAGAGAAGATATCAGGATCCATGACACTGATGAGACACATTTAATTTTTACCCAAATCATACCAATGTACTGACCAAGAAAGACTGTGCATCTCAATTAAAGAAAGTTTATCAAAACTAAGGCCTTGTAAAATCTATAGACAGGACCACTGTGACTTCTGTAATTCTTGACAATTTAACATGATTGGAAGGGTCAACCCACAGTACATTTATATATTTTCATTAGTAGATTACTTTCACACTCTAGACTACCATTCTGGCAGGCTATATTATACTTTAAAAAAATGAGGCAGGCATCTATATTCCAGGACTTATTGTAAATAGAACACAAAACTCCTGTCACAAAAGAAAAAACTAAAACAAACCCGCCACCAACACTGAAGGCCAAGCTTCTCTGGTAGTCCATTTATGGTGCCACTGCTAAGTAAGAAGGAAATGTGCTTGCATCCTATGCTTCTCCTTTCTCAACCAAAAAAGAAAGGAAATATGGTGCAGGAAGGACTCCAGATGTCAGCCAGGACAAAACTGAAAACCTTCACAAAGCATCCAGAAAGCACATGCTCACACAAAACCCAGCTCATCTAGACTCAATACTAGAGCAGTGCTGACTTCAGAGTATAAAAACACACTGAAGCGAGAGGCCTTAAAAAGACAAAGCTCAGAACAGACTGTCATGTTGAGTTGTAGGGGAACAACCAAAACCACAATACCCCAAGGAAGCATACACATGCCCTACACACACACACACACACACACACACACACACGGGGAGAAGACAGGGTTAGCTTTCTGTAACAAGACAGACAAGAGACATTTCCAAAGAAAGTTGGTCTAATATGAAACAGAAGTTCAAGTGAGCCAAGCCACTTCCAATGAAGAGAGAAAATAAAAACAAAATTCAAGATCAAGTCCAATGCAAGAGCTAATTAGTTGGTCCACAAAGAGCCAAGAAAAACTCCCTAACTTCAGTTAGATATTGCACACTTGAAAAACAAAAAGGGACATTTAGAAAACTATCTTAAATTTCTTTAGCTGCTGACTGCCTCTTTGGCTAGTATCTGATCAGTACTCAGTCCTATGACATGTTCTGGCTTTCTATCATTTGCTTGTAAACCACTTAAGGGTCGCATCTCTTCCAGGGACCCACTGCCAAAATGGACCTTACACTGTAATCACACAGACAATGTTAGGAAGCAAGAGTAGCAAAATGATTTTAAAGGTATTATTTTTTTCTTTCCGCTTTCAAATTATCTTTAGCAGTTTCTAAAGACATGGTCACAGCTGCCCGAAGCATGTCTTCTTCACTCGCAGCATCACCTGCTGGGAAGAAAACAGAGTTCTCAGAAACACTGCTGGAAGATTCTCAATCATCAAAAGGCAAACTTTTGAATTAGAGGTGGTGTAGCTAATTGGTAGAGTGCTTGCACAGCATGAATTAAGGCCCTGGGTTCAATCCATAGCATGGTATAAAAGAAGGCATGGAGACATACTCCTCTCATCCTAGGACTCAAGAAAGAGGCACGAGAATCAAGTTCAAGGTTGTCCTTGACTGTAAAACATTTGAATCCAATTCGAACTACATGAAACTTAGCCAAAATGAAGAAAAAAAGAGCAAATGCTTAGGAAATACATTTCAACTTGAATACTTATTTTTCCTTTTTCATTTTTTTAAAAGAATTAACTTTGTAAATCTGCAGGCATGCTGTGTCATGCATGACCAGTGTAGAGGTCTGAAGATAGAAGGACAAGTGCCCTCCTTCCAGCAAGTGGGTTCTGGTGACTGGACCCAGGTAGTCAGGTTTGGCAGCAAGCATCTTTCCGTGCTAAGCCCTCTTGCTGGCCCTAGTTTCCTTTTATTGACTTTGTAATTCACATGCTACTTGTGTGTCACTTTAAAATCTACAAATGGATAGAGAACAAAATACCATAAGACACAAGCTTTTGCTCCTCCTTGTCCAGTAATTTTGCGGCTAATCCAAAGTACAGCCAGATGTCTGTTTACAGTTCAGCCTGTCTGGCAAGTCATGGTCTCATATGGTGTATTTAGTCTTCTGAATGTAGAATTTTTCATTTACCATAACACATTTGAAATTTATTGTGTTTATTAACAAATCAGACTTTTTAGAAAACCTTTTTATTTGTAAACAATTAAAAAATTCATAGGAAGTTGCAAAGACAAGGGCCCTGTGGACCTGTCAGTTCAATTTCTCCCAACAGTTACATCTTCTATAACTAAAGCTCAAACTAAAACACAGACAATGTTGGTAGTTCTACATGACTTTAAAACACCGCTTCCATTTGTCGGTTCTTTGTTTTGTTTGGTTAAATGCCTAATATGGCATTTATCACACATGCAAACTCCTACCTACCACCATCACCACCACTACCAAGACTAAATTGTGGGGAAAGGATGACATCCTGCATGCATGTGTATTATCAATACGAGCACAACCATATCAGGAGCCCTAATGTTTCAGACACATGGGAAGGGCAAAGCCTGTCCGGGGTCAGGTTCAGAGGAATGTTCTTCTGGTCCAAGAGAAACGTTAAAGCCTTCTCCTGGTCCAAGTAGGGATGTTAAAGATGAATCACTAATCATTAGCTAAAACCAGTGTGAGCAGAAACTATCAGTGTAATTCCTTTTAGATGACTGCAACCTGAGACTGATCCCCTACAGAGACCATCTAATCAACATTAGCTAACTAAACCACCCCACCCCACCCTGACATGTATGCACATGCCTCCTCCTCTTTTGTCCTATATTTAATAAAGGCACTGAGCTTCCGGACTGCTGGTGGTGCATCTTCATCAGAGTACATGGCCTACCCAAACCCAGCTTTTCTGTGTCTATTAGTACTTCATTCCCCAGCATTCTGTTTGGGGTAATCCTTAAACTGTCTAAATTGAGGCACTCAGGTATACTCCTTGCCTCACATGCACCAAGCCCCAGGTTTGATCCTAGGTACTACAAAAACCCAATAACTATAAAGCACCACAAATCTCTCCCTCCTGCATTACTTTCTATTCATGCCCAGTTAAACTTTCCACCATTTGTCTATATTGCTGCCCACAGTATCTTGTTCTCTATCTGAATACATCTGGGAGTTTTAGCATGCTACCCAAAAGGCACCTCAGCTCAAAACCTTTCCAGACTGTCTTCAACCTGGCATAATGATTCTGAGATGCAGCCCAGATGCTGCATGCATCAAGAGTGATTCTTTTTAATCTTGAAAGTAGTACTCTATGGCATGAAGCACTAGAGGCTGTTTAACCATTTATTCACCGAATGTATGGCATACTAGTTGTCTCCAAATTTTGATTAAAATCAATAAAATAGCTATGAATATTTGTATATATACTTTGTGCAAACATACATTTTTAAATCTATGGCATACATACCTATGAGTATAACTGTTGAGTCATATGGTCATTATGTATTCAGTTTGCTTATTTTCTTGAGACAGGGTCTCAGTATATAACCCTGGCTGGCCTGGAACTCACTGTGTAGAGTAGGACGGCCTTGAACTCAAAGAAATCCACCTGCTTCTTCTGCCTTTGGAGTGCCAAGATTAAAGGTGTCTTGGTGTATATTCAGGTTTTTAGGAAGCATTCGAATTACTTTCTGAAGTTGCTATTCCCAGTTAAAATGCACCAGAGAGAGCTCACCCTCAAAAGGAGAGAAATGCATTTAATATCATCCACTCTTCCCAACCTTGCCTCAACATCATCATTTCTTTTCTGTTTTGAGAACTTTCTTTAGTTTTTTTTAAATTGAAAATAGATTCTTTTTTATACAATATAGTCTGATCGTGGTTTCTCTTCCCTCACCTCAGAAATCCTCCCCACCTTCCCACCCACCCGATTTCATGCCCAAGAAAAGGAACAGAAAAATCTAAAAAACAAAATAAGAACAAAGCCAGGCAGTGATGGTGCACACCTTTAATCTCAGCACTTGGGGAGGCAGAGGCAGGCAGATCTTTGTGAGTTCAAGGCCAGCCTGGTCTACAAGAGCAAGTTCCACGACAGGCTCCAAAGCTACAGAGAAACCCAGTCCCTAAAAACCAAAAGAAAAAAGAAAAACAAGCAAACAAACAAAAAACTTCACAGAACAAAGGAAACACACAACACACAAAAAAGCACACTAGACATACATACACATGCAGAGACAAACATGCACACATAAAACTCATAAAAACACAAAATCAGAAACTGTAATACAGAAGCAAAAGACTAGTAAAGTTAAAAAAAAAAGCCAAAGTATTAAGAGACAAAAATTCTTCAAAAGAGCATTTAGCTTGTTTTGAATGGCCTGCTCTTGTATGTGATTGGTACCCCCAATGAGATTCTAATGCAGAAAACTAGCTTTTCTTCTGTGAGTGGTGTCCATTGGAGACAGCTTCTGAGTTAGGGATAGATCACATTCACTTCCCCATCTCAGCACTGAGACCCCACAAAGCTTGGACTTGTGGAGACTCTGTGCATGCTGCCACCATCTCTGAGTTTGTTTGTGTGTCAGTTCTGTTGGATCTGGAAGGCAGTGTTTTCCTGGTATCTTCCATCCCCACTGGTCCTTACCATCTTTCTGCCACCCCTCCTCAAAGTTTTCTGGGCCCTAAGGGGCTGAATTTGATGGAGACATCCCATTTATGGTCCTCCAAGGTCTCTCATTCTGTGCACACTGTCCAGTTGTGGGTCTCTGTAACTGATGGCTCGTCCTGGCTCTGATGATAGCTGATCTTCCTAGGCCACTCTATTCTTTAGCTTTCTGTTTTGTTTTTTGAGACAGGGTTTCTCTGTGTGGTGCTGGCTGTCCTGGAACTCACCTCCCAGGTGCTGGAACTAAAGGCAAGCGCCATCACATTAGACTCCCTTTCTTTAGTCTTTAAGGACTGTTGGAGCCATTTTTCTCAATTCTAAAGAGTATGTTAATTACTGCATATGTAACCCTAGGTTTAAAATTTTCTTTCAGCACTTTAAAACACACTGTCTGCTCCTTCATTCATAGGGGAAGGCTGTGTCTCAAACTGCTGTGGGGAAGGTTATTTCTTGCTAATCTGGGATAGCATCTTCAGAAGTCTATGAGTCTTGGTATGTATTTTTTTGGGTTCATTCAACTTCTTCAGTTTATAGGTTTCTAGTTTTCAGGAATTTTTCTGCTCTCAAATGTGTATGTGGAATCAAGGTGTGGCAGAGCATGACTATAATCTCAGCACTCAGAAGTAGGACAATGGTGAATTTGAGGCTAGTCTGGGCTAGCTAGTGAGACTCCGCCTCAAAAAAAAAAGGATTAAAATTGTCCATGTGGCTCCTCCTTTTCTGGTTCTGGTATAACGGTGATTTTCAGCTGAACCCTGGATACTTGGGCATTGTCAAACTGCAAATCTTACTCAAGTCTGTGTTTTGTGAACCTTAAAAGGTGTCTGTGTGGGGGTATGTGTACATCGACTGCAGGTGCCCGCTGCAGCTGGACACAAGAGTCTTTATAATGTGTTCTCTAGTGGGAGACATACCAACAATTCTTTAACAATTTATTGGCATTTGTTACAGTAAAATTCTGAGATTTCTGCATAGATTCTCCATGAAGTCCTCCCACAGACAGGGTTTCTTTTCCATTCAACTTCTACCAAGACTTGGCTCAAGTTAAGACCTATTAAATCAAGGCCTACTATAGTAAGTAACCCCAAATTCCAGTTACTATCTAGATTACACTAAAGCATGTTTTCCATTATTAGGTGGGAAAAGGTATTTATTTCCCACTTACTAATATTCATCATCTCTGGGCCATCTCTGGAGGATTTTTAAAGAATGTGCTGTGAAGTTCAAGTCATATGTCTGTGATTTAAAACCAACCAGGGCATGCTGGTGCCAGTGTAGAAGTTCCACACTAGCCTTAGCCACATAGTGAAATTATTAAACAGATAGATAGATAAGACAGACAGACAGACAGACAGATATTTGCCAAGTGTTTTAGTCTGTCTACTTCTTTCTTCAGAGGAACTCAGTAGATTACAAATTCATTTACGAGTTTCAATACAATTAAAGAAGGAAGAAAATATGAAGTAAAAATGACATGAACCTTGGATGTCAAGTAAAGCATTTGATAACAATCAAGGTGGACGCTCAGAGTCATTCATACCTTGGCTGTTCCCAAGTCCTCCTGAACTTGTGGTCGGTCTTTCACAAGGATAAGAAAGCTGCCTAGGTCGGTCTATCTCCTGTTGATGTTGATGCTGTTGTTGCCTGAAATATTCAAAAGTGAGTATCTGTTAAAACGATACCCAAGAAATAAATATTCCATGAGAATACTTATTCGTGTAGGCTGTTCCATAAATCAAAATGGCACTGACCTGAACACTCAAAACATGAGAATTAGTTTGACAATTACAAGTATAAAAGTGTCAAAATTTTTATTCTAAAACCCTACATATTTGAGTTATCAGACAAGTAGGTATTTTCATTTCCTGTATAAGGTTCACTAGTATTTATTCATATGCAAATGATTAAGGTTTACAGAAAACTAAAATGAAAAAAATAAAAACAAGGAAAATCTAAAAATGACCGAGATTAAGAAGTCAGATTACAAAGTTATATCTGATTTTAAAAGGGCCAAATTCAATTATACACAGCATGTTTTTTTCTAGTGTTCCTCTCAATTTTGAAAAAAGCTTCTGGTCAGGTTGCTAGCTTAAGATGACCTTGAACTCTAGTACTGCCGGCCTCCACCTCATAAGTACACCAGGCAACATCACACCCAGCTTGTCCTTCTCAGTTCTGAGCTTTCTATGTGAGGAACAAGACAACTCGGAGAGTAGAACTCCATCTTCTCTCTGTTGGCCTTCTGCTGTGTGTGCCTTCCTTCAAACATGGCTGGAGCATGGCCAGAGCTCTGGGGATCCGGGAACATCATGGAGGCTCCCCCATGCCCTTGTCTTCCTCCACTTAAAAATTTAAGTCTGGGGGCTGGAGAAATGGTTCAGTGGTTAAGAGCACTGACTGCTCTTCCAGAGGACCCGGGTTCAATTGCCAGCACCCACATGGCAGCTCACAACTGTCTGAAAATCCAGTTCCAGGGGATCTGACACTTTCACACCAATGTACATAAAATAAAAGATAAATAAATCACAAAAAAAATTTTAAAAAAATCTAAGTCTGATAGAGGGAAAACCTTTAATCTACTTTTAATTTTTCATTTAACTGACATATTTATTGTACATATTCATGGAGTTATTATAATTTTAAATTATGTAAAATGGGAAGAAAATCAGCTGCCACCCTTGAAACAAACACTCTGAAGCACTGAGGACGCTGCTATAGAACAAGGTCCTCAGCGCCCTACCCATCATGCATCAGTCTACAGAGGCTGCAGAGCAAGAGCCTGGTTTCTGGTCACAGAGTAAGTACTCACATGAGCTACAAAGGGCAGAAATGAGTCAATGAGACACAATTATTTTCCTGATAAGCAAAGGCAAGGAGATTCAGCCCTGACTCCTATATCTCATGGCTGTTTCAGTGAGACCAGAAAGTCTTGACAACTATATGGCTTCCTGATTCCAGGATCACGGTTATATCTGTTTATTTTTATTTCTTGTTTGTTTGTTTTAAGATTTAGTTAGGGAGTTATATGTGATGGTGCACATCTTTAAACTCAGCACTCCAAAAGCAAAGGCAAGTCTCTGTGAGTTTGGGGTCAGCCTGGTCTACATAGTGAGTTCTAAGACCGCCAGGACTACAAAAAGAAACCCTGCCTCAAAAAAAAAAAAAAAAAACCCACAAACAAACAAAATCAAAACCAAAAAAGAAAAAGATTTAGTTAGAGGCTAGAGAGATGATTAAGCAGTTAAGGGCACTGGCTGCTCTTCAGACGATTTGGATTCAATCCCCAGCATCTACAAGGCAGTTCACAACCATCTGTAACCCCAGCCCCAGGTTCAGGGGTTCTAATACTCTCTTCTGGCCTCCGCAGGCACTGCATGCACATGGTACACATATATACATGCAGGTAAATACCCACACATATAAAATAAAATTGAAGAAAATGTTTTTCTAATTTAATATATTTATATATAAAACATAAAAATGTTTTAGATTATGTATGGGTAGGTGCCCTCAGAGTGAGAACAGAGTATATGGTCCTCTGAATCTTGATGTCAGTCATGTGGGGGTTATCTGATCCCTGTCATCCTAGTCAGGAGTGGTCACAGCCCTTCTCACAAACTGCTCTACACTTCAGAAGCCTGGTTCAGAACTCCCTAACACTATAAGCCTCTAATTTCATTATTAATTAGTGTTTTGTTTAAGCACTCTTACCTGTTTCTCTTTCTTTTTTGTTTTTCAAGACAAAAATCTCTGTGTAACAATTCTATCCTGGAACCTGCTTTGTAGACCAGGGGGGCTTGAACTCAGTGATCTGACTGTCTCTGCCTCTCAAGTGCTGGGATTAAAGCTATTTCTGGATTTTGTTTGTTTGTTTTAAATCAAGACAGAGTTTCTCTGTAGCTCTGGAGCCTGTCCTGGAACTAACTCTTGTAGATCAGGCTGGCCTCGAACTCACAGAGATCGGCCTGCCTCTGCCTCCTAAGTGCGCCACCACCTTCCAGCTCCATTTTTGCTTCTTAAACTGAACTGCCTAATAAACTAAGTCAAGCCATTAAAGTGACTGCATAAGTATTAAGCAATCAAAACATCATGACAATCCTTGGTTATGGATGTTTTCTACTGGGAAACACTATTTCTTGTAACAGGAAGACTACAGCATTCGAAGCTATACATAAAGAAGACATTAATGATTTTAACAAATATCTGTAGAACACATAGCAGCTGATAGTCTTCAGACCCATCACTTAATTCTATGCTCCCAACAGCAAGTATTAATGGTGCTGGTATGGACTGTGGCTTAGGGTTTTATGACTGATAAACATATATACAGATCATTGCTAGAAAAAAAATGTCATGTCAAGGAGATAATACTTACTGACCCTTACTCATAAACTATGAATTTATAATAGGTTATTTTTAGTAGTAATTTTTTTACACAAAAACAGAAATCCTATAAATGTGTTTTATTTGATGTCTACATTAAGTATGAGGCTTTTAACACTCAATAGTGACAGGCAGCGATGAACTGTGAGTAACAAGTTAGAACCATGCCAGTCTGGAGAGGGAAAGAAGGCCAAGAACAGAATAATCTAGAGAGGCAGAGAACTATTTCAGCTAAGCAACCAAGGGTTTGAGTAATAGCAAGTGCAGCATGCATGTTAAACCAATGAGCCATCCTCAGACCCTTGGCACCGTTCTTAAACTTCAGTAAACTAGCACTTTTAAACGCTAGTTGATGTTAAAAATAAACACCACAAAGTTAGCCCTTAATTCATCTCAGTGCTACGTGACTAACTAGAACAGTGCCTGGCTGTCTTTAAGTTCTCAACAGAGGATAAAAGACTAAAGCTAGAAACAACTTCAACACACAATCAATGACTAGAAAAGAGGCATGCTCATACTCAAACTGCTTTTTAAGAGGGTGCAAAGTTGACCAAAATCTTTATCATCTCAAAAGCACTAGTTATGTTTCTTAAGTTGTGATGGTTATAGCTTAATCTTCATCACGGGATGTTACTGAATTACCTTTACTGCTACTAAAAGTTCAAACCTACTGGAAGTTTCAAATTTTTATTTCAAGAAAGTTAACAAAATGTCTAAATAAAAGAAAAGGGTTGGAAACAAGGCTCAGCAAGTGAAGACTCTTACTGTTAAGTCTGACGACCTGAGTTTAAGTCATAGGACCCACACAGTAGAGGAAGAGGTACCAACTCCTTCCAAATGACTTGTGTGCCATGCATAGTGTACACACACACTCTCTCTCTCTCTCTCTCTCTCACACACACACACACATACACTTTCTCACTCTCTCTCACATACACATACACAGAAAGAGAATATAAATATACATATGACAAAAGGGGAATATATGCAGTCACTAACATATTGAATGTTATATATTGAAGGAAGGTATAGTGGGAACATATTAAAAAATTTCTAAAATACTAATTTTGCCTACTTAAGTATATAAAATTGTTGACTATCAATATTATTTTGTGAAAACAGCATTTATTGGGGGAAAACAAAAGGAAAACAGACAATCCAGGTGTGGTGTGCAGACTGGCAATCCACCACTGGGCAATGAGACTCAGGATGAGTGGAAGCTTAGGACTAACCCAGGCAGTGAGTAACAAATCAAAAACCAACACAGAAACAAAATCAAAGCAACCTCACAGAAAACAAACAACCCCAAATATTTTGGAGGCACATACTAAACAGCAATGGCATGATGACTATGACTTTACAAGTCCAAGCCTGTGGGAGAAGGGAAAGAATGGGAGTCAGAGGCATAATACCTGGGTCATGTGCTGGTACTTACCAACTGAGTACTTGATTATATTTATATTTAGATGGGTGTATTATGCATAAATCTAAAGCTTATCATAATTTAAAAAGTAATAGTTAATGCTAAAATTCAAAAGGACATGAAAAGCACTAATAAGCACTATTTTAAAATGTAAATATAATTAAATCTATAAATCAGTCACTGAATAAAGACTAGAAATATCTCACATTAAGAGGATGTCAGCTGTTCAGAACTTTCCTTCATATACTTCTGAGTTGTGACTTAAAAAAACAGAAAACAGAAAAAGGTAAACATTATCTTCACAATACCAGCAGAGGCAAAATGGTCCAAACTTTATACCACTAATTTGCCAACTATGAGTCTAAGATGTGGCTGCTCAAGTTCAGAGGTGCTGATTGATGTGTGGCCGCTGCTGTTGTGCTGGAGGGAAGCCCTAGCCTTACACAGGCTGGGTGAGCACTCTCCACCAAGTTGTGTTCCAGACATTCAGAGAACTTGAAATGTGAAATGAGAACTTCACTGATTGATGAGACGAGATATGTAACTGTAGAGTCCATCTCTGGCCTCATCTTTCTGACCTGAGATCAGAGGGTTCAATTATCTATTATTGATCATATTATTGATCATATTATCTATCACCTTTAAGGTCGAGTTTGGTTTAAAAATAATAAAAAAGCTAAAGATGATGGCATATATCTGTAATCCTAGCACAAGGGAAGCTGAAGTAGAAAGACAGCCAGGAGTTTAAGGCCAGCCAGACCACATGAGAAAACTCTATCCAAAAAATAAAAGATTTGTGAACAGCAATTACTAGAAAGAAAGACACTATAAAGGAAATAACCAAGCAGTGGTGGGGCATTCCTTTAATCCCAGCACTCAGGAGGCAGAGGCAGGAGGATCTCTGAGTTCGAGGCCAGCCTAGTCTACTACAAGAGTTAGTTCCAGGACAGGCTCCAAAGTTACAGTGAAATCCTGTCTCAAAAAACCAAAAACCAAAACAAAACAACAACAACAAGAAAAAAAAGTGTAAATATTTATTTTTAGTACTTACAAACTGAGTACACCATGTGGTTTGGGGAGTTTATGGTTCAGATTGATGGTTTCTATGCTCCTGATACTAATGGGCCTTGAGCCTCCTAAAGAGACAACCAGCAGGACTACAAACCACCTACTGCCTGTACTTGGGAAGATAGCCCTCTCCCTCAAATGCTGTTTCCCTGTTAACTGACGGGAGGATTAGCAGGGCCAATAGATCAATACGCAGTAATTCTTTCCTGTCCTAAGTCCATTTTCCTTCTGATAAGCAAAATCCCACAAGGTTTCCTTTATCCAAGTCCATGTAAATGTACCCAAGATTGGGCAAAGGTTTTTCTCTAAAACTGTTAAATATTTCACACTTTATTTGCTGCAAAATTTTATACACACACACACACACACACACACACACACACACACACATTCATAGGTTCAGGCAGTAAACAGTAACTTAGAAACAGACAAAATAAGCAAGTATTAAATATGTAACTTTAATCTGTACCAACTACTTTACTTTTCAAAGTAGGCTTCTCTCCTCTTCCGCAGCTCTTCTGAAGTAAGACTGGTACTTGATGTCTGTGGACTATCTTGAGACATATTTCTGGAACTACCTAAAAAAAAGCCAATCATTTTATATACCTGTTCAAGCAGCAGTATATTTGTTCTTCCTGAGGAAGATAGAAAAAGGCACCAGATTTCATTATAGATGATTATGAGCTATTATGTGGCAGCTGGGAATTGAACTCAGGACCTCTGGAAGAGCAATTAACACTCTTAACCTCTTAGCCATCTCTCCAGCCCAAAAGTTTTTTCTTAAGAACATCCCACTACTGTTCTGAAAATGTAAAAAGGCTATGGAAGTCTCAGGGAAAACCTAATGTGTTACTGCAACCGTGGATGATGCCATTTGTGATGCAGATGTGAGAATACGAGTTCACAGTCCACCCGGTATGAGAAGTCTTAAAGACCACATTTATGTGCCCTTTAACTTCGCCAAACTGCATCTACACCTTCAAAGGCATGGTATTCCTCGAAGCAGTCTGTTTGGACGACCATGACACACCCTTACTCTGTTCCCAACAACTTGCTTCTAAGTTCTCATCAGTAACTGTACCAAACACAGATCCCGTACAAACTGTGACAATGGCAAGATGGTTTTCTGTGCATTACTGCAATAACCCAGCAGGCCCATGCTAATAAAACATGGAACTCCACGCTCCAAGGAATATGCAGAGACAGGCCTGGAGGTGAGGAGTCTAGAGTAACAGTAATGACTATATTAACGGACCCTCAATGCACTAAGACATTTAAGGAATTCAGATGATGAACAATCTTATTAAAAGTAGAAGTAGCTTTATATAAATTAAATTAAAAGAAAAATCACAAAAATAAAGCACTTCCTGCTCTCAGTAAACTGCTTTGTATGTCTCAACACTTTTCCCTGCCGGCAATCCCAAGGGGTTCATCATCTCTCCTCTCCACTGATGGGCTTACATCAGTGAAAAAGGTGTATCCCTCCAAAGAGGGCTTAAGTACTAAGTTGTACAGCCGGGAAGGACGGGTTATCCACTGGCATGCATTTGTTAAAACAGCTGGCTAAGGATCATCTAGCCACTGGAAGATTAATTCATTTAGTTATTGTATCAGTTCAGTATTGTAATCAAATAACATAATCAGAAGTAAAATTACAGTTGTATTAAACACAACAAATAACAGTCCTAGTATAATATAGGTTATAAAAGTGATTCGAGATCAGGGAAATCTAAAAGAAATACCGAAATTCAAGAACTATTGCTTTAGCAGGAACTCTTAAAGAACTTCCAAGAGCACAGTAATTTTCTGAAAAGCTAAGAACAACTTGAACCAGTTCTCCAAAGATGACTGAAATACATCCCAAATGCTCATACCTTGCATACTGAGCTGAATGGCCCTGCGGAGATCAGCTTCTTCATCCTCCATGTCGATTTCCTGGCGACTTATCGCTAGAGCTCTCTGCAAATCATCCTCATCTTCATCCAACACCCCCGCCCCATCGGCCGCCTCTAGGACTCGCTCCAGATCTGCTTTGAGAACACTAAGCAACAAATGCATTCATAAAAATTATAGCCTGCTCTTCAATTTTATTTTTCATTAAAAAAGTTTTATGTGTATGTGTATTTTGTTTGCATGTACATCTTGTACATTGTATTCAGTGCCTGAGAGGCCAGAAGAGGGTGTTAGAAACCCTGAGACTAGAGTTATGGAAAGTTGTGAGCTACCAGGTGAGAGCTGAGGACCAAACCTAAGACATCTGGAAAAGCAGCCAGTGCTCTTAGCCACTGAGCCATCTCTCCGGTCCATAGTCTTCAACTTTAGATAAAACTAAAGGCACTTACAAACTAAAGATTTTAGACAAAAAACATACTCTTGAAAATAAAGTTCACTAACAGAACAACTGAGTTGTAATATGAATCTAAGCCGAGATATTTAAGCAATTCATTTATGCTCAGTCCATAAACTTCACTAAAACACAGCCTTGCTTATGCCGGTTTATTAACTACTTGGGAGGTGAAGAAAAAAGGATGTCAAAGTTGACAACTGGGCAACTTAATGACACCTGTCATTAGAAATAGGGGTAGGGAATGGATGGCCATGACCCAGATGATGCTCAATGGTAAAGTGTATGCATGAAACTTAGGATTTGAGCACAAACACTACAAATAATAATAATAATAGTAATTAGTAACTCTAACAACTCATTTTCGGATGAGGGAGGTATATTCAAGAGATATAGCACAGGAGGTAGAATATTTGCCTAGGATACACAAAACGCCTGGATTTGACCTACTGCATCACAAACAAAAGAGCATGGCGGCACACACATTTTTAATCCTAGCCAGCCAGAGCTACTTAAGATTTTATTTCTTTTTCACTCTTTCCATTTTTTTTTTGTTTGTTTTGTTTTGTTTTTCAAGACAGGGTCTCTCTGTGTTACAACACTGGCTGTCCTGGAACTTGTTTTGTAGACCAGATTGGACTCAAACTCAAGAGATCCACTTGCCTCTGCCTCCCGAATGCTGAGATTAAAGGCCTGAGCCACCAGTGCCTGGAGAGATCTTATTTCAAAAATCAAATAAATACACAGGCTCCTCCAACAATAAGTGGACATATCAAACTGCCTTATAAACACATTTAGGTCTATAGATCTAATTGGTGGAGACATCACACACTTTGGTTACATAACAGAGAGAAATCAAGCAGGAACTGAGCTGGAAGCTTCCACTTTGCGGACCAGCTTTCATAGTGCTGGAAGGTCCTACGGAGGCTGCTGGAAGAGAAAAATCATTGCCAGTCTTAATCAGGCCCCGTCATGCTACACTGTAATATATTGCCAGACAAGATGACATGACTATTTTGGAGGGAAATCAACCACTTTTTTTTTTCTTCCTCATCCACTTTTCTTTTTATTTTATTTTATTTGAGACAGGATCCCACTATGTAGGTGACTCTGGCTGTCCTAGAACTCAATATATAGACCTGGCTGGTCTCAAACTTAGAGAACTCCATTTGTATCTGCCTCCCGAGTGCTGGTATTAAAGACATGTGCCACCATGCCTGGCAGAACCATTTTTTGATAGAATCTGAGGGTCACACCTCAGAAAGTAATTCATGCCTGGTACCATAAACCTATCAAAAGCCCATAGGTCATATGGCTGATCAGGACATAGGCCCTAGGTAGGGGCAAAACTACTATGTTTTACTAAATGGACAGGTCAAACACCCTTCCAAATACATTTAGACCTACAGATTTGTTCTTGATCAGAAAAACTGCTTTGGGGGAGGGTTGGGTAGTAGATAGCAGCTAAGGCAAAGATTCAGAAGCCTTTAAAGTACTTGAGAAGAAGTGACTGTTAAGTGCTCAAACTTAAAGAGGATCTCTATCAACCCTCAAGGAACTTCAGAGCAGAAAGAATGTGAAGAGCAGGAGATTAGGAAGGGATGCTGAGAAATGCTGTCTTCTGACCGTGACATGGCTGTTACACTCATACACAGCAGCGATGGTTACCAGCACAAAACTTTCACAAAGTTCAAGCAATCAACACGCCTGCATGGATAGGGGAGCACTCATGAGGCTCCCCTAGCTAAAGAGCTACTTCGCATTTATCACTGTTAAGGTAGGAGGAGTATAGATACTGAAGAAAAATTACTATACCACAGTGGTATAGTGGTATAGGGTTGTCCATGAAGCAACATTAATTATACTCAGTGAGCAAGAAAATAAAAAAAAAAAACAGAAGAGAACAGGAAGGGGACATGCTGGAAAGGTAAAGAGATTCAAAGGGGACAGGAAGGGGTTAGGAGAGGGTAATGAGTGATGAACATAATAAAAATAATTATATACATGTATAAAATTGCTAAATAAATAATACTTTAAAATAAAGTAAAATTACATAAGCATATCAAAGTCTTGAATTCCCTGTCCCCCATCAAAGTATGTCCACATAATTAATAAAACGGCCAAGTTTTTAATGAATAAATGAAATGAAAGTAGGGGATTGGGCATAACTGAATAGAATATTTGCCTAGTATGAACATGAGGCTAATTCCTAGCTCCATAAAAACAAATACACAAAATAAAAATAAGATTAAAAAAATAAAACAACTAACCTCTGGCAGTCTATGAGCACACATTAACTACAAGCAGTATATGTAGTGTATGGAGGGATGGCTCAGTAGTTAGTATCACTTCATGCTCTCCAAAGGGCAAGTTCAATTCCCAGCACCCACATCCTGCAACTCACAATCACCTGTAACTCTAGCTCCACCAGATCCAATACCAATACTGGCCTTGGTGGGCACTCACACAGGCACAAAGTGTAAGCATGGACATTTAATTCTTCTGAGAGCATGCTACATCATATATTACAAAATAGCACTAAAATTTACCTCTGTTCTTTCAGTTGCGCCAATTCTTCTCCAATAAGTTTTGGTCGATGCATCTGTTGGACCTTGATCATCTGCAAAAGTTGGTCAGCTTCGCAGTCTGGCAGATCACCCTTAACAACAAATATAGAATAACCTAAAAAGAGGCAAAAATAAACTAAAACAACTAGTAGGAGGTTCAAACTTCATCTGAAATGATAGTTGACAGAAAGGTGGCAGAGTACAGAAGGAAAAACAAGAGGTGAAATTCAGAAGGGCCTAACTTATGTGATGACTCTCACCTGGATCAGGATCGAGTCTCACTGCTCCCATCGGTCAGACTCGGTGGCCACAGAGACAAAACCAGACCTGTCTACAAGGGCCCTAGAAAGGCGGAATCTTACCACATGCCTACTTGCTAAAAGTGAACAGGCAGGCAAGTAAAGGAGGAGTAGAGAAAAGGACTTGGACCCAATGGCTTTTGTTCAATCCCAGCTCTGCCACTTCCCAGTGCCATAGGGCCTGTCAATCATTTACCCATCTGTGTTGGTATCTTTAATTATTGAACAGCAATAAAGAAACCTTCCTCAAGTGGCAGGCGTGAAGTCACTTTTGGTGAATATATTCAATGACTGGCAACATGGATAAAATAAGTGGCTGGAATATATGCTGGAAATGGCAGTTCCTCACCCTGCTCCCTGCCCCATCCACAGAGCTGGGAAGCCAGTTTTCTAACTGAAAACAGGAGCTGGGAAGCCAGAACCTCAAATATAGTCAGTGTGTCAATGTGCCCCACGATTTGGGAAACAATACACTGGTACAATGCAAATTTTAATAAATACACACCTAATAAGACAGGTTTTCTCAGCTACAACTAAGTTCAACTTATTAAATGTTTTCTATCATTGATTTTCTTGAACTTCAGTGAAACAAAGATTGAGAGGCTGTTCACTAAAAGAATACATTCAATACAATTTCTTTTGGCAAGGACAAGCTTATTCAGAGTTCAGATGTCTTGACGTGTTTTTTGCTAATAAACCTGTTTCTAAACCCCTAGAATCAGTATGTCCGCTCACTATGAAGAGAAGATATTCTGCATTATGCAGACACCATACTAATTCTTGATTTTATTTAAGACTCTGAATTAATTTTCAGTGTGTTAGAAAACTACTACTTGGTAAAGTAAATGTGTGATCATAATATACATTAAGTTTTTATAAAAGCGTTCTGGCTGCTTTATCAACATAACATATAGAAACTAATGTCCAAGAAGGATTCTTCCTCAAACGAAAGCCTGAAAGAAAGCACATACAGGTAAGCAAGCAAAAGCAACCAACCAAACAACAACCATGGAAGTCAAGTCTTCTGGGACTGGACAGACGGTTCGGTGGTTAAAACCACTTGCTGCTTTTCCAGAGGATTCAGATTTGATTCCTAGCACTTGCATGGTGGCTCACAGCCAGTTCTAGAGGATCTGATGCTCTCTTCAGGCTTCCATGGGCACCAGGCACACACATGGTGTACAGACATACATTTAAATAAAATGCTCATACACATAAAATACTAAAATAACTTTCAAAAAAGTCTTCTTGGACATGTCTGACTTGAAATCTTCCAGGACTGCCAAATGAGGATGCCAAGCCCAGGACTGGTGTTCAGAGGAAATGTCTAAGCTAAAGCTAAAAGTCTGGAATTACGAGTGTACAGATCATAGACTGTGATTAAAACAATGGAAAGCCACATAAGGAAGAAGATGAGATGGGAAAGGGTGTGACGATACACAAGAGGAACCTGACAGAAGCAGTGGGTGAGACAGGCAGTAATTCCACTGTATCTATTTAAGGACATAAGGAATCTAAGCACTGTTTGTTAACAGAGGCTAAAATGACATCAAGCACCACATCAAACCCAAATCAGCTCAAACCTAGTTAAGTACCTAGGTTCCATTCACTAGAACAGCCAGGGGTCAAGTAGATTTAGGGGGGAAAAGTTAACCAAAGCCAATTATTGAACCTGATTTCAGTTCGGATTGAAGTGTGAAGAAAGCATCAGGAATGAGGTAAGAGGCTTAAACACTGAGTAGCTGACGGTCACAATAGCACTGGAGCTTGCTAGCTGGGGATACAGGTCAGAGCAGAGTTCTACCCCACACGCACATAGCCATGGGTTTTCAATCCCCATCGCCACAAAGCACAACATTTTTTACATAAGGTTATACTGCCACTGTGAATATTTTAGTAAGAAATTACTTTTAAGGATTCATCATGAAAATAGTTACAAAAAAAAAAATAGTAGAGCAAACAGGAAGTAGGCAAGGTATAAAGAAATAAGCCATGTAGAGATACAGGAAGATCAAGAAATCATTTCCTTTCCTTTTACATTTCACATATGCATATGAAATTTGTTGTGTTCTATTTAGGCAGGGTGTAAGCAACTGCCCCCTCAATAAAGGAGGCTCAGTGAGAGTGAGAAGAGGACTCACTGGTTTATGGCAACCAAATGGAGGGGTTCAGTAGGCGACAATGCATCAGAAATAGTTGTAATGAGAAAATGACAAACAGGCAAGCAGCCAGAGCTTCATAGGTAAGACAAGTTCTTCATCCTAATCGATGGAAGCAGAGAGCTTTTACCCTGAGTTGAACACCTACACTGTAAGGGTGATTCACTGCTAGTGTCAGAGATCACACACTATTACACACAAATAATGACTCGGTTTCGTTTAAGCTACTTTCAAAGATAAAATTTTTGGTATTTATTTACCTTCTTGCTGTAATTGAGCCAAGAATAGTGCGAGGTACGTATCTGATATTAATTCTGGACCCGTCAGGAGAGAATTCAAGTTAAACCACTAGAAAAAAAAGATATTAATATTAAAGTTAATGAACAAAGTTATATGCAAAACTAATTTCTCATGTTAAACATATAACCTACCAAAATTTAGAATGTCTAAATAAATATATCAAACTAAGATTTTTCTAACATACTGAATACTGTGATTAGAAAAAAATGTGGTACAACAAATTAAGGCATTAACTTGAACTCCTTCTAAAAGGACAGAAGCTGATAGTACCTTAAAAAGGCTTTATTGATAGCTATAATTACGTGGTTTCAAACACACCTACTCATGTCATACTGACATAGGAAAAAATGATAGCTACACACTTTTTCACCTGGCCAAAAGACTCCAATTTTTAAAAGGTAAACGTTCTGGGAAAAGAATTTATAATCACTGTTTCATTTTAACAAGACCTCTAAGCTACCACTGAATGTGATTAACAGCATGAAGTCACAACCTCAGAGGTGCCCTTACTTAAACAGAAAAATGCAAAAATGTTCCTAAGTCATGCTCAATTCCATGCACAACTAATGACTCTTCCTGGATTTTGATACAAGCCAGAGAGGTCTTTTACCAATCATTTCTTTCTTTACACAGGCATCAGTGGCTAGCCTCAGAACAGATACACCACGCCTCTGCTTCTTCAGCACTGGTTAAAGGTGTATGCCATCATACCTAGCTAAAAATCTGTTCCTAAACAAGAACATAAATCAGAACCAAGGACCAATAGACCAATACTAGCCATCTTCCATTAACTGTCAAAGATAAAATAGTTCAAAATGTAAAAAACCCCAAAAAAGAGATAAATTTTAAAAGTTCAAAACAATGTTTCCTACAAATCACTACAAAGTTGCACACGAGTTTTACATTTCTAGGTCTTAAAAATGAAGTGGTTACTTTATTTAGAAAAATAACACTGGGTCCTAATTTTCTAAAGGCACAAATAAGCCCTCAATGACTGCAAGGGAGGAGGGCCGACAAGTCACATGGAATTGACCTGGCTCTTTGCAGAGGTGATTTCTGTCCCAGTTCACCTCTGGGCTACTATACACATCTCCTTACCTGTTCTCCACACACCTTACAGAGAACATAAATATTGCTTTTTCCTTAGCTTTTGGAACAGGAGATTGAACCTAGAACCTTGTGATAATCATAAGCATCCACCCTGCTCATGATAAACAGTACCGAGCAATCACTGAAGACTGGCTTACTTCCAGATGGGCCAGTTAAAAGCTAACAGTACAGTTATAAATATGTATATATACACACACATATATCACACTCACACACATAATGCCCTTTCCTTTGAAATAGTTAATTCTGTGTATATGTATGTATGTGCACCATGTGTGTGCTTGGTGCCCACAGAGGTCAGGAATACTGGCTTCTATGGAACTGGAGTTACAGTCAGTTGTGAGGCACCCTATGGGTGGCAGGAACCAAATTCAGATCCTCTGCAAGAGCAGTAAGGTCATACCCACTGAGTTATATCTCCAGGTTCAATATATTGTTTCTTTTCGCATTTAATGTAATTTAATTTATTCTTGGATTTTTTTAAGACAGGGTCTCACAGATTTGACTGGCCAAAAACTCAGAGATCTCCCTGTCTCTGCTGGGAGCAAAGGTGAATACCACCACACTCAGCATTTTTGCTTTTTATTTTAAAAAACAGCTCTATTGAGGCAAAACTGACTTAAAATAAACTGCTGTCACTCTCCTCCTGTCTATCTTGAGGGTTTCACTATGTAGTCCAGGCTGGCCTTAAGGTCTCCCAAGGTCAGTCTCCTGAGAGTTGAGTCACAAGGCATGGGCCACTGTACTTGGATAAACTGCACATATTTCTATTACAACCTGGGATTTTGTTTTGCTTTCTTTAGTTTGATTTTTTGAGACAGAGTTTCTCAGTGTAGCCTTGGCTATCCTGGAACTCACTCTGTAGACCAGGGTGGCCTCGAACTCACAAAGAACTGCCTGCCTCAGCCTCCTGAGTGCTGGGATTAAAGGTGTGCGCCACCACTGCCCAGCATCATTTGAAAAAATGTTTGTATTACCCCCATTAAACTATCAACATCACCACGAGAGTGAACACATTCTTCAGAGTCCAGTCTCTTGTGTTCCTTCTCTCCATCCCCAGCCCTACACAAGTACCGGTCAGTCTACGGTCATCACTGTATCTAGTACTCATTTCTGAGATTCCTCCACACTGCTTGTGTTTGAGCAGTACATTCCCTTTGACTGCATGAGCTGCTTTCTAGTAACCCTTATCCAAACTGAACATTGTAAGAAGGCCATTGCATGACTGCAGCTCCCAAATACAAGGTAGTGAAAATTTTATGCAGATGTATTCCCCAGCAGTGAGACTGCCTGAATAATCCCATCCCACGAATGTCAACTGCTAAATGTTTTGCTTGTTCCTGACATTTCAGACTTTGTTATAGTACTGTGCTAAACACAGATCATCACACAAAAACATACTTAATAGTAAACACATATGCACTATTTTAAATACAGAATTTTTATACAAGTGATATAACTTGTATGTTTTTTTTTTTTCTTAAAAATCTGAAGAAAAACTGATTATCTTCTCGGAAGATAGCCATTTTATTATCTGTTGAACTGAGTCCAGGCTCAGGTAGAGTGCATGGGACCCTGGGCTTCAGCCTAAAGACACCAGTCACTTACATTTTAGTTCAAAATGGAGTGTAGACTGTGATAAAAGGACAAGAAAGGAGAAGAAATATTACCTGTTTTCCTAATTTTCTAACTGTAAACCAGTGTTCTTTATAATTACATATAAAGGATCTTTCATTTCTAGAAAAGACAAAACATATACTGTTAATACTGTTACGTTGGGATATTATGAGATATATATTAGCAAGTACAATAAAATTTCTATCAGTTAGAATATAGCTACACTTATGTGTTACTGATTTTAAAAAATAAAAATAATGTAACTCTATGCATTTTGCACAGGAGCTTAGGGATGTTATGCCCCAAAGTTTCCACACCACTCAGATCAGTGTCTTCACTGGCACAGATTAGAAGGCAGCTACTCAAGGGTACCAAAGGTGACATGTGAAGTCCAAGGGCTTCAAATGCAGTATCAGTATAAAGCAAAGACATTCACAATGAATTTGTCCTCATTCGGAAACTATAGCTTTAAAAATGAAGTTTAAGTAAAGAAATGTAGGGAGAAAAGTCTTACATAGGATCAATTCTGAGCCTCTGGTACTCTGGACTGTTGAATAGGATTAGTTCTAAACCCCAAACTTTCAAGGCATTGCTTATAACCTGTCAAAAGAAAAACAGCAACTTTTCATGAGCTAAAACTTCAAGTCCAAATTTAAGTAGCATAGCTACATTAATTATGTAAACAACTGTACTTTACATATAAACTTTTGAGAATATTGTTTTTAAAAATTATGTCCCCGTGATAACCCACTGAATCCATAAATAATGTATACATGTGAATTTAATTTCATTGCTTTTTTTTATTATTTTTGTTTAAGTGTATTAGTGTATCTGAGTGAGGGTAGACCATTGTATAAGTGCCTGTGGAGGCCAGAAGAGGATGTCAGGTCCCCATACAGTGGAGTTACAGGCAGTTGTAAGTAGCCTAATGTGGATGCTAGGAACTGAACTAGTCCTCTGAAATACCACTAAGCATTCTTAAATGTGAAGCCATCTCTATAACCCGTACAAATCCATTTTATACCCACTGTAAACTAGTTCACTACATACAGTCACTGTACAACTAGTCCACCACATACACTCACCTGCAATGGCAGTGACCAAAAGCATATAAAGTAAATTCTCCCTGGATATTTAAAAGTAAGGTTCGGGGGGGCTGGAGAGATAGCTCAGAGGTTAAGAGCACTGCCTGCTCTTCCAGAGGTCCTGAGTTCAATTCCCAGCAACCACATGGTGGCTCACAGCCATTGTAATGAGGTCTGGTGCCCTCTTCAGGCCTGCAGCCAGACACACAGACAAAATATTATATACATAATAAATAAGTATTTTTTTTAAAAAAAAATAAGGTTCGGGGGCTGGAAAGATGAATAAGTGGTCAACAGTGCATGCTGCTCTTATGGGGTCAAAGTTCAGTTCCCAGCATCCATATCAGGGGACTCATAATCACCTGTAATTTCAGCTCCAGAGCTCCACTGCCCTCTTCTGGCCTCTGCAGACAATAGTACTCATGTGCACATACTCACACATATTTATATACATACACAAATAATCTTTAAAATAAAAGTAAATCTTCTTTAAGTTTGATATATTTTAGAATTCTGTAGTCATGAACAAAAAGTCAAACCTGATTATTGCAAACTGAGAAAAAGGGGAGAGACATTTCAGAAAACATTCTATCTTTCCTCCCATGTGGGCAACAAAGCAACAGGTACACTGTGTAGTAACTCAGTGTAAGGGTTAACTCAGCAGCAGGCTGAGCCAACCATGACCCACGATCTTAGCTAAGGGTCAACAGTCCTCATACTGTCACAGCGAAGTACTGGGTAGAAGTGGTAGAGAATGGGGACTCTACGAGGGTCACATAGAAAGAATTTATAAAGTAAATACTTGCAGAAATAGATCTCTTAAAAGACATTCTGAAAGAAGTTAGAGAACCCTCAATCGTTAGAATGAAAGATCCATAGGTAAAAGAGCCCCACAAGTCCATGAATTAAGTTAGACATGGTGGCTTCCAATTGCAATCCCAGCACCTAGGAGACCAAAACATGATTTTGGAAAGTTCAAGACCAGGCTAGGCTAGGCTACAAAACAACACCTTTTCTATAAAAGCAAACCAAACATATATACATAAATCACTGCAGGGTTAGAGGTTTTCTCTAGGGTAGAATACTTGTTCAGTATGTGACAAGACTTTATATCATCCCTAGCACTATAAAGAAAAATTACCACAGAATTAAAATGGAGCCTAATGGGACTTGGCTCTGCAGTAGAGTTTGAGCACCTGTGAGTCTTTGGAGCCAATCCCACCCCCAACCCCCAAAAGGGCTACAAATTACCATATAGATCAGAAGTCACAGAAGTACTACAGGAACCCAATCCTGTAGGATGATTTAAACGAAGGCTTCAAGGCACTGCAACTTCTCAGATGTACCAGAGATAAAAAGTTTGAAGTACTGTAATTTATTACAATTAAAGCTATTAGCACCTACATGCAAATTAAGCAATCTCAGAAAGCAAGTTTTAAAGACCCTGTTCTAAACTGAGTACGTAGCACACACCTGTAATTCCAGTCTGGAGGCACAGATGGGAAGACAAACACAAGACTCAACCAGCCAGGACTATAGTGAGACCCTGCCTGTTCCCAGAAAGTAACGAGCAAAGCCCTGCTCTACAGTCCTAATGCTCATCTCTCTGCGCAGTGCTCTGGAGCTGTCATATCTTCCACAGGCACAGTTTACTGAGGGAATTCCGGAAGGCTCCATCGTTACATAAAAAGCTATGCCAGGCTGTGCACATCAACCACAAACTGAGCATAAGCACAGCAGCACTGAAAGTGAGGCAGCACTTCACATGCACTACTTACCTGGATAGAGAAAAAGCCACTGTCGTCCATATTTCCAGAAGGCTGCTGTGGGCAGAGAGGGATGGGAAAAGAATTAAAACTGTCATTAGGGTGCACATTTATAAGAACACACTGTACCAAGTGAGGAGCAGAGTTATAATTAACAAGTCAGACTCCTATGGCGAGAATGGTTCATCCTCCTTTAAAGAGCACCCGTATTTTAAAAATAAAATGGGATTTGGAGAGTCTGAAATCCATACCTGCAAAAATGTGCGGTAGTCTTCACTGGTAACTCCTCCTTCTGCCATTCTCATCCTTTCTTCTTCATCAAGCTGGTGTGCAATAGAGGATAACTCCACAGGGCTAAAATACTCCCCTTGCAATAGATTATTCAGGCAATGCTGAGCACAAAGTGAGCCTTCTTGCTAGTATTTCCAAAAGAGTAAATTTAAACGTGATTTATTAAGTAGATCTGTACAGTATATTCTAAAAAAAAATGTAATTACTAACTTTTTAATACAGTCAAAACAAATCTCATAAACCTTAGACAAATCTGATTTTACAAGTATACACATTTTCATTTGTCTATGTTTATTTTACAGCTATATAACTATAGGAACAGAAATGAAGGATGATTTACAGTATAACTTCATCCATCCAATCTCATATAAGCCTAAAAATTACCCTATAAAAACAGCCTTTTCAATTTTTCAGTACCTACAAGAATTCCTCTTTGGAGATTCCATGGCAAGTGACTACTACAGAAGGGGAGTGTTATCCCCTGGAACATCCATTCTTCTATAGTTAGTCACTCTCTGACCTGAAAGCCTGTCCTTTTAAACTCAAGAGCTGGTGTAAGTGGGACAGTTCTGTCTCAGGTTAAGACCCACAGTTCTAGAGTTGAGGCTCTCATTGGCCAACTTTGCAGACTCATTCCATGTAGCATAGAGAAAGAACGGTCCCAAGTTGAAGACAGTCCACATTCATGAGTGGACAAACTAGTAAAAGGAGCCAAGTTCAGCTCCCTAAGGGGTCCTTAGCATCCTGTCACAAAGAGTAGATACAACATCCCATGAACCCAGTATTGGGTTCATGAACCTAGTATTGGGCTTCTAGTATTGGTTAGCTGGCTTTCATATACAACTGGGACCCAACTCAAGTCCAGACTGCCTGACTGAGCAGGCTTCGTCACTCTCCTAGTCCTAACCCTGTTGTTTTCCTATGCTACAGGTACAGAAGGGAGACTCCCCTAAGTATGCCTTTCTGGGAGGCAAAGGCAGATGGGAGAGCTCTTCCTCTGTTAACTCTGGCCCTCAAGAGGCCAGTCAGGCCTCCTGAACTCAACCTGCCAAACACCATGCCTCCTGGTCTGAGCTATGTTACATGGCAGATGATGACAAGAAAGAGCACCTTACAAGATGCATTTCCCCCCGATGAGTCAATGTCAGAGGAACAAAATATAACTGCTGAAGTAGATACAGTATACATGTCTGTTATGGAACAGGAAGGCAGAGTTCAGAGAGTTTGAGTCTGACACAAAGCCAAAGAAAGCTTATCTTCATAGTCCACTAAGTAAAGTTGTCCCAGAATGGCTTGGAGTTAGAGTTAAATATCCCTTTAAGTTGCAGTTACATGGTGGCAGAATTCTTTGTCTCTGCCTCTTTTCCCTTCTACTGTTGATCTATTACTAGGAGCAACTTCCACTGAATACTGCCTACTCTGAAGTAGAGCTATACAGATGTTTTACTTAAATCCTAGTGGAAATGTAAGCACTACAACAAGGTAGTCAAGAGGCTAAAAACATACAAATTCATGAGTTATCAGGGAAATGTATATCAAAACCCCAACACTACAACATGTGGCAGGAAGTGGCTCAGCAGGTAAAGGTGCCTGATGTCAATCACCAGATACTACTGTAGAAGGAGGGAATGACTCCTAAGGACTTGCCCTCTGACCTCCACATGCACACTTGACCACCCGCATGCCAGCACTCGCATGCATGCCTCATACATACAAATGATTTAAAAAATTATTTTTAAATATTACATGTATTGACTGATTGACTGGCTGGAGGGATGCAGAGAACAACTTTTAGGATTCAATTTCTACTTTCACAAAGTGGGTCCCAAGGATCAAACTCATGTTATAAGGCTTGCTGAGCTATCTTAAAAACGTTTCTGTTGTTGCTGTTGAGACAAGGTCTCACTTTGTAGCCCAGGCTGTCCTGGAACTCATTATATAAACCAGGCTGGTCTCGAACTCATAGAAATCTATTTGCCTCTGACTCCAAGTGCTGGGATTAAAGGTGTGCACCACCACCACCTACCTAAAAAAATTACTTTTATAAAAGAAAAATTCACAGTGTGTTACTACTATCCAGTCTCAAGATCAACTATTACAGTGAAGAGGTTTAGAATCACAGATAACAGTTGTTACAGGAGCGAATATAACTTAGCAAAACCATTGTACAATAACCTTTATCTCAACAGAGCTCATAATCTCTGTATTCTGTGGTTACGCACATACACTGCGAATGCACTCACCAAAGCACTACTTGTAGGCTTCAAAACTGGAAAGCACCCAGACAGTTTAGATCATAGAACGGTATATACATTGTATATGAATAAAAGTAAATTAAATAAAAGTAACTGATGGATGAATCTCTCAAATACTTTTAAAAAATAAAAAACACACAACACTCAAAAGAGTAGACACCAGAGCTAAGGATGTAGCTAGTATGTGCAAGGCCTTGGGTTCAACCCCTATTACCACCACCAAACTAAGACAGCAAAGGTACAGGGTGCACCAGTGAGAGGAGGCTAGTGACCTAAATTCCACCCCTGGAACCTACTTAAAAGTCGAAGAGAACATTCCACAAAGTTTCCCCTGATCTCTATATCAATACAGAAGTATGTGTCCATTCGTACAATACGTCATGCAGAAACACAACATAATAACTTAAAAAATTAAAAGAGTTTACAAACAGACAAAACTAATCTCTTAATCTACAATGGCAGAATTGCCTGGCAGAAGTAAGTGCAGGAAGAGCTAGTTTCTGGAAGAGAGGATTAAGGGGATTTAGGATGTAGGCAAACAGTCTACATGAGTCCATGTGTGTTTCCTTGACTGTACACTCTCATGACTTGTGTGTTCTTGTGTATGACATACTTAATTTAAAACATTCAGACTAGGTTACACAGTGGTGGCAAACGCCTTTAATCCTAGCACTTGGGAGGCAGGCGGATCTCTGGGAGTTTGAGGCCAGCCTGCTCTATAGAGCAAGTTCCAGGACAGCCAGGGTTACACAGAGAAATCCTGTCTCATAAAACAAACAAAAACAAAAGAAAACAAAACAAACCATTCAAACAAGGCCAGGCATGGCAGTGCATACCTTTAATCCCAGCACTCAGGAGTCCAAGATAGGTGTATCTCCGTGAGCTACCTACATATTGAGACCCCATCTCAAAAAGAAAAGAAAAGAAATCAAGAAACATCTAACATGGCGACCAAGCACTCAATTTGGGGAAGAAGTTATGATACAATCTTCAGTCCTATTGCTAGGTAATATGTTTCAGTGTGGTGTTCTTATACTACGATCACCATTATTTTTTAAAGATATTTTTGTTTATATATATGTGTGTGTGTGTGTGTGTGTGTGTGTGTTTTGTCTGCATGTATGTCTGCACCATACACATGCCTGGCATTCACAGAAGCCAGAGAGTGGAGCTGGATCTTCTGAGACTAGAGTCGCAGAGGGTTGAGTCATCATCATCCGGGAATCCTGGGTCCTCTGAAGAGTAGCCAGTGCTCATAATCTCTGAGCACTGAGCCACCTCTCCAGCCCCGAGTCACCATATTTAATATACAGAAAGAGTGACATCTAAAATTTTGATAAAAAAATTCTTGCTATTAAAGATTGGGGCTTTGGAGGCTGGAGAAATGGCTTAGCAGGTAAAAACACTTGCTATTCTAGCAGAGGATTTGGGTTCAGTTCCTAGCATATACAGCGAACTCACAACCAGCTGTAAATCCAGTCCTAAGGGATCTGATGCCCTCTCCTGGCCTGCTCAGTCACTGTATGAACATGGCACACTTTGACTCATGTAGGTTCTCATATACATAAAATAAACAAAGTCTTTAAAAAACGAAGTATGTATCTCTTTATGCCCGGTTTATGTGGTACTGAGGATAGATAAAACTCAGGCCTGAGCTACATTCCCAGTCCCTGAAATATTAGTTTTTTTAATTAAGAAAAATAAGCACTTAAAATCAAACCATGACCAAGTAAAATGGTACTGCTACCAGAAATATGCTCTGTACTTCTAAGATGATTAGTGGAAGGAAAAAACAAATTGTTCGAAACAACTTAAAAACTGGGCTGGAGAGATGGCTCAGTGGTTAAGAGCACGGACTGCTTTTCCAAAGGACCCGGGTTCAATTCCCAGCACCCACATGGCAGCTCACAACTGTCTGTAACTCCAGTTCAAGGGCATCTGGCACCCTCACACAGACATGCAGACAAAACACCAAAGCACATAAAATGTAAAAAAAATAAAAATAAATCACATTGCTTCATGCTGATCAAATTCCACATGAATTAAAAAAGTTATTTATCACCCCCTCTGATCATGTATTATTTTTCTATCTTACTGCCACTGCCTGAGTTAGCTTGTTCCCCATTTCTAATCAGGGTTTTACCCAAGTGGGGAGCTAGCAAGAAGGCTCAACAGGTCAATATCTGCTTGCTGTGATCATGAAGACCTGAGCTCAATTCCCAGGAACCACACGGTGGGAGGAGAGGACCACCTCCCACTAAATTGCCCTCTGACCTCCACATATACACTGTGGCCTGTATGGAGCACCACAATACAGACAATGCAACCAAATGTAATAAAGCACTTTTAAGTATTTCACCCAAGTAAAAGAAAAACTTACTTTGCTACTAAAATCCTATGACTTGGGGTTCATATTTTACTGTATTGGGACCAGAAGATGAACACACTACACTTCCACTTCTACCAAGATAGTCTATAAAATCACAAAAGGGAACTGTAACCAAGTCACTCCCCGGGTTTTTGGGTCCAACCTCAAACCAGGTAAAATCCCAGTGACAGTAATAACTATAATAGAAAACATACAACCCTAATGGTACTCTCTCAAAATAGGCCAGTAGTGAACTGTCTTCCTGGGTGGGTAAAGGCTGTGTGACTCAGAGCTCACACCACAGTCATAGCTTATAGTCGCCACCTCTTTAATGCTTAAGTGTTTTTCTATTCCTTCATTTTTGTTTTATGCTTGAGATTGGTCCTTTCCTTGCCCATATTAAGTAAGTGCTCTACCACTGAACTACACTACACCCCCAGATCTCTTCTGTTCCCTATTTAGTATGGGGTTCAGCAAACACAAGGACCTACTAGTACTGTAGCAGTTACCATTTCTGCACCACTGACTTCTGGACAGCGTCTTAGCACACATGACTTTGAGGCAGCTAAGTTCTATCATTAACTACAGAGGCAAAAAAAGAAAACTACAGAGATAATAAAGAACTTATCCAAAATCCTACAAGCAGCAATTAGCAGAGCTGGAGTTCAAACCCAGGCAGAGGCTTCAAATCTGTGCTATTACCATTTCCTCAAATCAATTACTTGGAATTAGGCTTTCCATAATCCCCACATATCTTGAATATCACTAAGAGCCTCAACCACAAAAGGGTACAATGGATGTGACAAGGTCAGTGCTTAGCCTGTTTTCCATCTTTTTGGGTTTCACATTCCCAGTTCACACTACCCTGAAAGCAGAGATACAGACTGCACCAAACGAAGTCAGTGCTGGAAGCACTAACAAGAGTGGCAGATTACAGGCACGAGAATAAGAGCAACAACGAAACACAGCATTCAAGAAAGCAACTGGTATTGGCAATTTACTATTAGTTAATAGATGGGAAACGTTATAGCTCATGGGTCCAAGTTCACTCTTCCTCAATAGCCAAAAACTGTATTTTATATATAAAAAAAATTAGAGAGGACTAGAAATACAGTCACATAAATGAAATTTTGTGACAGAGATACACATATATGGCCTGAAAGGTTTAAAATATTTAGAGACTAGGCATAGTGCTGTGAGACTTAAATGCCAGCTGGGCAGTGGTGGCACATGCATTTAATCCCAGCACTTGGGAGGCAGAGGCAGGCGGATCTCTGAGTTTGAGGCCAGTCTGGTCTACAAGAGCTAGTTCCAGAACAGGCTCCAAAGCTACAGATAAACCTTTTCTTGGAAGGAGGAAAAAAAAAAAAGGAGACTTGAATACCAACACTACCAACACTTGGGAGAGAGAAGCAGCTGGATATTTGTGAGTTCAAGGTCAGCATGGTCTACAAAGCAAGTTCCAAGCTAGCCAAGGCTACACAGTGGGACCCTGTTTTAAAAAATAAAATAAAATCAGGACTTGTAGCCTTTAAATAAATAGAACCACATATCTTTTAGAGTAGTGGTTTTCAACCTTCCCAATGCTGCAACCCTTAACACAATTCCTTCCCCAACCACAAAAGTATCTTTGCTGTTACTTAATAACTGTAATTTGCTACTGTTATGAATCATAAATATCTGATAACAGGGAGTTTTAGGTAACCCCTGTGAAAGTGTCGCTGGATCCCCAAAGGGTTAGGACCCACAGGTGGAGAGTCACTGTTTTAGATGCTCAAGGAACTCCTCACCCCTGCTCATATGCACAGGGTCTTACTCAGGCCAAGAATTCTGGTTATTCTACTGTCTCAGCATACTGAATAGCTGACACTGTAGGCACACACCATGTGTTTAACTACATTTATTCACACTGGAGATCTACTAATGGACAACTGCTTTTATTTATTGTTTTTGTTTTGGAGACAGGATCTCTCTACCCAGCCCTGACTGTCCTAGAACTCACTGTGTATACAGGTTAGTCATGAACTCAGAGATCTGCCTGCTTCTATCTCCTAAATGCTGGGATTAAAGGCCTGGATGATGTTATGCCTGGCTGATAACTGTTTTTAATATTCTAACTTGTATTCTAATAAATACTCAAAGGGGCAAATGTAAAATTAATTTCTAGAGGAAGTAGTTAAGGCTTCTCTAAATGATCCTCTCATTAAAAGTAAGTTATGGAAGGGAAAAGAATTCTCTAGGAAATAGCATTTATGCTCAAATATTCCCAGAATGGCCTCTTATATGATTAATAACCTACAGTTACAGGTACATTCTCTTGAAATATGCTATGGCTTTATTGAAAGTTCATTTCCTCTGTATATTTAAGTTGATGATAAAAACAAATGTACTCTTTAGGGCTGGTGATATGCCTCAGTTGGTAAGGTCCTTTTCATACTAGCCTTAGGACCTGAGTTCAAGTCAAGGATGGTGGTACCCATTTGTAACTGCAGTGCTGGGGAAGAGGGAATGGGCAAATACCTGGGGTTAACCACTTTGGCAAGTTCCAGCCCAGTGAGAAACACCATCAAGGCTGTCCTCCTGCCTCTATATGTATGCATATGCACATGTGCATTCCCATCCATATGTTTGAGGGTACACGTACACACACGTACACACAGACACACAGTAAAAATACTTTTCAAGTATTCATTAAGTTTATTAATGTGAAAAATGAGTGACTTCTGGATAAGCATGGTTTGTGTGTGTATGTGGGCATGCGCAATTACATGTTTGTATATGTGTTCCTGTGCACATGTAAGCATGCAGATCCTCAGATACTGGGGACACAAACACACACTGCTCTGTCTGGCTCTACATGGTTGCTGGGCATCTGAACTCAGGTTTGCATGCTTGTACAGCAAGTACTTTACCAGCTGAAGCACTCCCCAGTCTGAGGAAGTTTTTGTTAGGCTAGCACTTTGGATATAATGGTTCAGTGGTTACTTTCACTGAAATCTGCTCAAATGAGGAACAGTCAATGTTATAAAGAAGAGATTGTGGGGGCTGGAGCGATAGCTCAACAGTTAAAGAGTACTGAGTGCTCCTCCAGAGGAGAGGACCCAGGTTCAATTCCTAACACCCACGTGGCTGCTCACAACCCTCTGCAACTCTAGTTCGGGGGGGGGGGGCCAATCACTAGCTTCGGTGGACACCAGGAACACACAATGCACAAATACACACAAAGGCAAAACACCCATTCAAAAATAATTTTTTTTTTACACATTAAGTGCCCTAGAGATGACTCAATGTGTAAAGGAGCTTGCTGGGAAAGCCCGAGTTAGATCCCTGGAAGCCACAGCAGGTCGGAAGGAGAGAATGGACTTCATAAAGTTGTCCTGACCTCCACACAGGCACACACACGCATCACACACACATGGCAGTAATAAAATGTTTTTTTAAAAGAATGCATAAAGCAGTGTATAAAGTGTTCAAAGTCAACCACATTTCAAATGGGTTCTACGCCAAAGCCTTTGGAAAATTAATTACAAATGTACGGGGAGGGCTGCTAGGAGCAGGGCACATGGCTGCAATTCCAGCGCTCAGGAGGCAGAGACAGGAGGATGGGAGGATGGGAGGATGGGAGGATGGGAAGGTTGGAGAGTCTGGAGCCAGCTTGGGCTGTCACAAACTAGTTCCAGTTCCAACACAGTAAGAAATGTCTTCTCAAGAGCACTACATTTAACAATTTCTTGATTTACATCACTTTTGTTTTTCCTTTGCAGTGCAGGAACTTCAAATGCCTTGAATAAATGCTCATTTACAAGTACTCAACAAAACAAAGACGCTTTGCTCCTACTAAATAACAGCACCAGCTTGCAACCCTCGCCAAACCTAAAACGATTATGAAACAGGGTATCATATGCCAAAGTTGTCTGAGGAACACCCAGACGACTTGATAATTGTACGCGAGCAGAGACCAGTTTCTCAAGATGTCACAACAATTCTTCTAAGCGTAGTCACTTAGGAATTAAGGTGAGGAAGAAACTAGCCGGATCGCACAGCAGAAAGATTCTAATCTAGTCCATAATACCTAAAAAACAAAGCTGGCCTCCTACTCCGGAAATTTGGGATAGCAAACCAAACCCAAACATCCCGTAATAAAAACTCTTATGACGACTTCCCTTAGGGACTCCGGGGTTTCCTACTTTACTTCCTAAGTGTCAGGCCACAGTAACAACTGCATGAAGGACGAGGGATAGATCATCAAGACATTCCATTACAGAACTGAGTTGAAGAGAAAAGTTGATTCTGCCAGTGGATAGGGCGGGGGCGTGGGTGGAGTTGGGAAGGGTCCACCAGGTGTGAAAAGGTGACTCGCTAGACTAGACTCTAGGAGAGAAGACAGAAGAAACCCGAAAAGGTGTGGCAAGTGAAGAAGGAACGCCCGCGCTAACCCTTCCGGTTAAGCCCCCGAAATCCCGATCGAGCGCTGGTTACCCGCCCGGTCCTCTGGGGCGAGGGCGCCAGGGGCGCATGTGGGAGGCTTCCCGAGCAGAGCCATGGGGAGGAGGCAGGAAGCGCCCCTCACCCAGCCAGGTTGGGATGGGGGCGCTCGGGCCCCGCCCTGAGCTCCTGAGGCGGCGACGCTGTTCCCCACACCCGCCGCCGAGCCCCGGACGGCTCCCCACCGAACGCCCACACTCACTTTCTCGTGGAAGATGGACTCCATGTTTATTTGTCTGGAGCCAACGGCCCCGGCGCGGAGCTGCCCCCTCGAGCAGCTCCGCCCCCGGTCCCACCCCTCCACCCCGCCCCGCCCCTCTCTGCCCACGTGCCTCCCATTAACCAATCACTACTGCGGGCGCACGTCACGAGGCGCGCGGAGCCAGGGAGCGCAGGGCACGTGACCTGGGCGGCGGGTCCTCCGGGCGCTTGTTCTCCCGCGGCGTGCGTGGTGCTGCGGCGCCGCCTGCCGTACGGAGGAGCTTCTCCGCTTTCCGCGGTTCGCTGGACCGTCTTGCGATTCTAGGGTTCGAGATGAGGATCCTCGCGTCCAGGTTTTAGGGCTTTTTTTCCTTTGGTACTTTCTGCCTAACTCCTGTAACTAACACCTCTTTCAAGAAAAGGTATTCTTTCGATACCTAGTACTTATGTAAAACAAAAAACTATAGCTAATAATTTATTGAGGTCTGACTTCTAAGTGAAGTTTAGTACGGCATCTTTTGATGTGTCTGTTGTAATATTATACACAATGAGGAAACGGAGGCACGAAGAAATTAGGGACAGCACAGTGTCCAAGATAGTTTTGCTTGTTGGAATGAGTATCAGGTCACGGGGTAAGTGCTCTAGTTCAGAAGGAGGAAGCATCGGTGGGGAAGTTAAAAGTTCAACAAAATGTTGGGAAAGATTAAGCGTAGGATGGGCGCAGATCTTGCACCGTGAAACCATTTTAGGTTCTTTAAAATCAGCAAGGAAACTGGGTACGAAGGCTCTTTTTGTTTTTCAAGACAGGGTTTCTCTGTATGTAGCTTTGGAACCAACCTGTCCTGGAATTCCCTCTGTAGACCCGGCTGGCCTCAAACTCACAGAGATTCCCTGACCTGTCTCTGCCTCCTGAGTGCTGGGATTAAAGTGTGCCACCACCACCCAGCAACGATGGCTCATTCTTACAATGCTTGTACCTGAAGGTAGAGGAAGAGTATACTGAGTTGGAGGACAGCTGGCGTATGCCAGACTGTAACCTGGGTTACATAGTGCGACCCTGCCCCCCCATCCCAGAAAAGAGGCGACAAGTCATTAAAGATTTTTAAAACTAGAGATATAGGGTCAAATTTGTATTGCAGAGGGTAATTGGGGAACAGAATACTTGAAGGCATTTTAGGAGAAACGAAGAGATGATGGTGGTCAGAACTCCAGTAGTAATTTGAGGAATGGAGAGAGACCATTTGGAAGCTTTAGGAGGCAGAATTAGAAGAATCCAGTGGGAAAGGGGATGTTGTTAAGAAAGACTTCTGGGTTTCTGCTGTAGGCACCGCCTATAGCAGGAGTAATGCTATCAGAAATACTTTGCAGAACGAGCAAGGTCTTGGGAAGAGAAAACAAAGGTTTAATTTGGGGAATAATGAATTTAAATGTCTGCACAGCATACAGGTGCTTTTGCGAAGTAGTAGACATGAGGCCTGGAGTTTACAAAAGCTGGTTTAAGTTGTAAGGTGGGTAGCTGGAGAAACGGCTCCCTGGTTAAGGGCTTCCCATGTAGAGCATTGATTCTCAGCACCTCCATGGTGGTTCACAACAGTTAGTAATCCAAAGGATCCATTGCTTCTTTGGACTCCAGGTATGCCCAGTGATGCATGTGCATACATGCAAGCAAAACTCATACACATAAAAAAAAATTTAAGACACAGGTAGCTCGCCAGGCATGGTGACGCATGCCTTTAGTCTCAGCACTCAGAGGCAGAGGCAGGTAGCTCTACATTCAGTTTGAGGCCAGCCTGGTCTACAAAGCAAGTTCCAGGACAGCCAGGGCTACACAAAGAAGCCCTGTCTCACTGTAGAGAAAAGGAAGAGATTGAAAAGAGGATCTGGAGCTAAGCCCTGAAGGCTGAGAGCAGTAGGCAAGAAGAGTGCAAATGCTGGCAGATGTAATGAAATGGGGGGTCCAGGAGAGATGCTTCAAGGACTAGCCAAGATGTTCAGGGCATAAAGACTTACAAAACACTGCTCAATTTTGTTGCTGGTGAGATCATTTTTATGAGAGTTCAAGCTAAGAAAGTGAGAGGTAAGGAAATAGAAACTGCCTGTGAAGATGAGCTAGCTACTCAAGGGGAGGTGCAGTGTTATTTGTTGAACATTCTGTATGCAATTCCCCTTTAAAAAGGAGATAAAGCTGTCCATATTGGAGGGAAGCTCTTTATGGCACAGGGTGCTTTAAAGGGAAATGAAACATTCCATCTTGCAAGGAAGCTAGTAAGGACGCAGAATATTCTAAGGACAGGGAACACATTCCATCTTTCAGAGGGACATCTTAAGTTCTAAACAACTCAGAGACTTCTATGAGTCCCTGACACTGCTCAGATTCCCTAGGCTCCTCCCTCCCCACACATGTATAAGCAATAAGGACTACCGAGAGACACTCTCCGACTAGCAGAGTTGCCTAAGAGCTCACATCAGCTGAACTGCCTGGAAGACGCAGAGACCAGCTAAGCTGCCTATAAGGGACACTCCAGCCTGTTGAGCTTCCTGCGAGTTGTGCAGTGCAGTCCATGTTTCCAGCTGACATGCTGGAATGGATTTTTAGCTATATGTTGTCTTTGAGTCATTTCTACTCCTGTAAGTAATCTCTGTAAAACTCTTTGGTCCACCATGTTGTACTTTGGTGGTGTCTTTGCTTTGGTCTGTCATCAGTTTTCTGAGATGAGTAGGTGTTTCACAGCTCCCCAGGAAGAGTGTCACACATACAACATGGGCATAGCCTATGTGCTTAAGAGATTGTGGTTTAACCAGGAAATTATAGCCTTCTGGTAGAAAATGCAAATGATGTTTTCTAGTATTTTTGTTTTAAGATACAATTGTTCAAGTGAATAACTGAAGCTTGCTGCTATAAATACCTGCACTTGGTAAATAACCATCAGACATTTATTGCTCAGTTATGGAGGCTGTGAAGTCCATGGTAAAGGCTAGAGCAGACCACAAGTCTTGGGTTTTTTCATTGATGGTGTTTTTTGTGTGTCCTGTTGTGTCAGAGGAGCAAAGGGGACAAACAAGCTCCCTTCAGTCTCCTTTGTAAGTATGGGGCCCAGGCCGCATAGCTGCTAAAGCAGGCAGCACCAGGTCCCAACCAAAACCCATAAGCTGGCGCTGCCCAGGAACAGACCATCCAAAGGAAATTCCTGACATTTCAACCACTGTAGATAGGGTCACCTGCCAGCACACACCCATCGCTTTTCACCAGGACACCCCTAGGCAAATGTCAGCGAATCAGACATTCTTAACCTTAGACATCCCTCACCTCTACTTTGCTTCTATAAAAACCCAACCCCAACTAAGCTCAAGGCTCTCCGATTACTCCAGTACTAACATGTTGGACACCGGAGAGTCCGAGTTTGCAAACCTGTGTAAGAAGAAAGGCTCTTTGCTTTTACATACAGGACTCGGTCGCCTAGATGGTTTTGGGGGGACTTCGTGATCTGGGCGTAAGAATAAAGACATTTTGCTATTTAAAAGGTAACGGAAGGGCTGGAGAGATGGCCCCGTGGTTAAGTGCACTTGCTTCTCTCATAGAGGACAGCTCTACTGTCATGTCCAGGACACAGCCAGAGCCCCTCCTCACAATATTAATACATCTTTCAACAGGTGAACTTTGCAGGTGGCAAGACTAAGTGATGGCACCAAGAGCTGAGACTCGTTTGATCCCCTTCCTATAACTGTTGCTTTTTCTCCTCACTCCAGACTTCACCTACCCCACAGCCCCTCCTCTTGCTTATGTTGCCACTGCCTAGTTCAAAACTTCTTGATCTCTTGTGTGGTGCAGTTCCCAGAACTATGAATTGATCTCACCCTAATATGTCTAGTTCATGACATTATCAGTGACCTTTCAAAAATACAGATCTCACCAACTTTTCTTTTATTAAACAAATAACAGTGTTGCTGTGCCCTGCACTGAAGCCATCACCATGCAAAAGACAGACTCACTTTTTTTTTCAAAATGGGAGTTCTAGGGCAAGTTTGCCTTGAACTTGCTATGCAGTCAAGAATGACATTGAACTTTTTCACCTCTGATAGTGCTGGGATTACAGGTGTGGGCCACCATGCCTGGCTTATGTGGTGCTAGAAACGGAACCCAGGGCTTTGTTCATTCTTGGCAAGCTCTCTACTAACAAAACTACATCTTCAACCCATCTCACCACCTTGAAACTTAGATAAGGAGATATTCTCACACCATCACATACGTCTTACGTCATTTAAAGTCTAGTAGCTTCCTGTTGTGCTTATTCTCCGTATTGCTGCCTTCAAACCACCCTTTGTGATTTACGCCGACCACCGTCCCACTTTGTCCTTCTGAATTCCTTTTCTCCAGTCATAATAGCTTGCTTGCTTCTGGAGAGTTGGGAGGGAAACCTGTGTTATCAGTACCCCTGTACATGTCTGCATGAAGCCCCCACTATCCCTTACTAGGATTATCATTGTACATGCTACTAAACTTAGCTCTGAAGTCAAACGAGCATGCTTATTATTATGGTTTGGTGTAGAACAGTGAATAAACACAGATTTTTTTTTGAATGATTGGTACAAAGCATCACAATAAATTAGACCTTTTTGCCGTGTCAGAATAACCATATAGGTCTGGAGAGATGTCTCAGTGTTTAAGCACATTTATTTTTTCTTTGGGAGTACTTGAGTAGATCCTTGCACTCACAACGTGGCTCACAGCTGTCTGTAACTCCAGTGCCAGGGATCCAGGACCCTCTTCCGACCTCCACAGGCATCAGGCATGCATGCAAGTTGTTCACATACATACATACAGACAAAACATATTTAAAATTAATAAAACTAACTTTAAAAAGAATAACCATGTCGATACACCTTGATATGTTCTTTGTTACTGTGGACGCCTCTGCTGTGGTATACTGCTCTTGTACCCTATAAAAATTTGTTACTTGTATTGATTTAATAAAACTGATTGGCCAGTAGCCAGGCAGGAAGTATAGGCAGGATGACCAGATTAGAATTCTGGGAAGAGGAAATTTGTAGTCACCAGCCAGCCAAAGAGGAAGCAAGATGAGAATGCCTTGCTAAGTAAGGTACCAAGCCATGTTGCTAAACATAGATAAGAATTATGGGTTAATTTAAGTTGTAAGAGCTAGTTATTAATAAACCAACCAGTTTATAATTAATATAAGCTTCTTTGTGTTTTGTTGGGACTGAACAACTGCAGAACCGGGCAAGACAGAAACTTCTGTCTACATACTTCAAATTCAATATTCACTGAGTTTGTGTTTCAAGTGAGACTGTACAAAATATTTCCATCTTTTTGAGCATTGTACCTTTTAACTGGCATTAATTTTATTGCCTCAGACCAAACAGTTTAATAAACGTCTGCCATTAAAAATTTTACAGAACAGTCTCCTGTGTTCTGGTAAGAATCAGTGGTAGCTAAGTATTACTCATTGTAGTCATAGTTTTCCTAAATCTAGCCTCCTGGAAACAAAACCATGAAATGTGCTTTCCAAGAAGGGGGCGACTGGACTGGCAGGTGAATTGTGAAGGAATTTATTGTTTTTGCTCTCTTACCCATTTTGTAGGGTTTTTTCTTATTTGTGTGTATGTGTGTGTGTGTGCGTGTTTGCTTTTGGTGTTTCGAGACAGGGCTTTTCTGTGTAGCTTTAGTGCCTGTCCTGGAATTTGTACAGCAGACCAGGCTGGCCTTGAACTCACAGAGATCTACCTGCTTCTTCCTCCCGAGTGCTGGGATTAAAGACATGCTCCACCACAACCCAGGTTTGTTTTTTAATACAAGAATAATAAAAAATAGAAACAACCCTGTGTCTAACACCAGGTAAATGGATAAGCAATGTGGTTTTGGCAACAACTTGTATGAGACATACAGCTTGTTTTGAACTTTCTATGTATCCTTCGAGTACTGGCAATAAGGTACTTAGGCTTGAAATAGATCAAAGAAAAGAAACAAAACCTAATGTTCCTGGTGAGTGCTTCCCTCACCCCCTCTGGAGACAGGTCTTACTATGCAGTCCTGACTGCAGTGGAACTTGCTATATAAACTCAAAACTCAAGAGACCATCTGACTCTACCTCCCAAGTGTGATAGCATGCCTGGCCATGTGTGCTATTTTTTCAGTCCAGTCAAAAAATATTATGCCCCTGCTATATACTTAAATGCTAGTTTCTTAAAGTATTATTTATGAATTCATTTTTATATATTAATATTAAGGGAATATTTTTAAGTCTTATTTCTCTAGTGTTCTTTTATAATCTTCCAAGTAGTCAGTACTATAAGGGTTTTTTTTGTCTTTATAATTTTTTTGAAGGATAGATGTCATATTGTACTTCAAAATATTTTTATTAGTTTTGTGAGTTGGGCATCTTTAAATCCTACTGTCAATCATATTTTACCAATTTTAGGTCATTAGTATTTTTTATATAATCCATATATATTCTTGTACTTAATCACGATTTTATCCCACCTGTGACCAGGTTTTCACTCACTCACTTTTTGCACCTTTTTTTAAATACAGGAATAATAAAGAGTAGAAACAATTGAGTGCCTAACATCTGGTAAATGGATAAACAATGTGGTCCATCCATATGTTAGTATTTTCTCTAAAGAAGTGGAACATTCCCTCCTGGAGAGGAAAGGGAAACACATGGGGCTCCAATGCTAAGGAAACTGCAGAGACAAAGTTTTCAAGACTCACCAGCCTTTCCCCAAGGTTCTATATGCCAAAAATGAGTTGCCAGGGGAGAGGGCTCTTCAGTGGGGCCACCTATAGGTTGAATAGGGAACCCCAAAGACACAGCTTTTTTGAGTTGTTGCCTGTCCCAGGGTGGGCTTTTTAGTGTTTTAGCTGCTTTGGGGTCACCCATACTTCTCAAGTGACCCCAGTAAGCTTAATGTCTACCAAGCGACACCTGGATGGAATCATGTCTGTGGCTTATTGTCAGTGCCCCTGCATGGGGTAAATAAGCTCACATTTTCCCAGGAAATCACACAGCACCATACAAGGAACATTTGGCCATTAGACAAGTGAAACACTGGTACACACTGTAATCCAGAACCTAAAGCAAAGCAGAAAATCTGTGTAGGGAATTGACACACGGGCCATGTTAGATGAGCAGTCATCTGAACTACCTAGAATGTGCTCTACCACTGTGGGGGCTGTACCACCACCCCTAAGAGAGTAGAAGTTTTAAGTTTTGATTAAGTACAATTCACTGATCTTTCAAAAATAATACTGTGTGTTTTGTTTAGGAAATCATTGCCAAATCTAAGGCTCCCTAATTTTTAATTTTACCAAACAAAACCCTAGCATTGTCCTTTAGAGTTCCCTGGAAGCACACTTTCTGTAACAAAGTATTTGAGGTCAGACAACTTTTAATAAAGAGGTTCATTTTTGCTCATGATTCTGAAGTTGCAAGGTCAAGCAAGGGACACATCCAGTGTTTACCTTCTTGTTGCCAGTTCTGAGGTGGTGTAAGGCAAGTGATGCAGCTCTTATAAAACCACCAGAAATTCAGTTACAGATGCAGTTCTCTGTGATGCAGTCTAGTCCTAATCACTTCTCAGAAGCTCTGCTTCTATGCACTGTTATTCTAAGATGTTTCCATTGTTTTAATACTTCACAAAGACATTAAACTTGGACACATGAAGGATGTGGGATCCCCTCTGTATGCTATGAATATGTTTTATTACCACTGGTTATTAAAGAAACTGTTTCGGCCAATGGCTTAGTAAAGCCAGGCAGGAAATCCAAACAGAGATATAGAGAGAAAGTAGGTGAAGTAGAGAGACGCCAGGGAAACAAATGAGCAGTCTCATCCTACAAAATGGTGCACCAGTGTGGGCCAACTGCATCTACATAAAACCTGAGACAGTCTGGGAAGGAATTCTAGGCACAAAAGAACAGAATTAAGCACAGTTTCTTGGTAGCAGCATATTTTGAGATAGGCTGTTTGCTGGCGCTGAGCAGAGGCGCTGCTCCTTTAAGCAGCAGTCTCCATCTACACACGAACTAGTGGGGGACACTGAGATCATAGCATGCTTGGAAAATGTGAGGGAAAAAAAAAACACGGTATTTATGACTTAATAGTACTGTAATCCAAAGAGGGAAACAGAAAATTAAATGCTAAGAATAAATAGGATACTTATGTAAACAACATGCTCAATTATAGTTTTTGATTTTTTGAGCCATGGTCTTTACATATATCTATACATACACATCCTTAGCTAATCTAGAACCTACTATGTAAATCAAGTTGATGTTGCATTTGCAGCAATCTTTCAGCTTCTTCATAAATGCCAAGAGTACAGGCTTGCACCACCACACCTGGCCTCAAAAGTAATTTTTTAAGTCAAATTGTGCCTGATAATGGAAGGTTACCTCAATAAAATACAAAGGATATAATAAAGAATGTAAAAAGAATCACACTTTAAATTCTTCCAATTAAATAATAAATGTTTTATTTCTCCAATGACTTTTAAAATGTGAACATTCTGAGATTTAGCCACAGGCTTTACTTCCAAGTAACTTCTTCATTGGGCCTCAGTTCCCTGTGTGAAAAGAAGGAAAGGAAAAACAGTAAACCATCTTAAAAATATTAAAACTTTATTTTATGAATATATGTGTGCCTTCAAGTACATATATGCATCATGTGTGTGCAGGTGTCCTAGCATGCCAGGAGAGGGCACTGGATCCCCTCGAACTGGAATTAGGTAGCTGTAAGTAACCATGTGGGTGCAGGAACCAACCTGGGTCCTCTTTAAGAGCAGCAAATGCTGTTAACCACTAAATCATCTCTCCAGCCACCATGTAAATAATTTTTATGAGAGGTCCAGAAGTTTATATTTGTTTGCATTCTATCAAATTGACTGATTTACATTTACATTAGATTTATCATAAACATTCATTCAATTCTCCCATAATCTTTTACTGTCTCTTCCCCAGCTCAAAGAACAGTAATCTCTTGATTTACAAAGTACTCTCTTCCTCTGCGTGCAATTGTTTCTGGATCCTTTGTAGCTCATTTCATCTTTCTTGAAATACCAGGCTTGTGAACCACACCTGCATAGTGACACTGGATGCTACTTAAGTCTTTTTACCCGTTGAGCTTCCAATCCAGATAGCTCTATCCACTGGCAGATAGCTACACTACCTGGTCTGGTTAGGCATGCCACAGGCCCAGGCAGCTGCTGGGTGTTACCACTCAGTCACCATATGTAAAGCTCTCAAGCAGTGATGCCAAAGCATTACCATTTATTTCAGCTATATCATGGCTTGAGACATACATGTTATTCAATAACATATAATGAAAGCATACATGATAGGTTTTGGGGAGCTGGCTTAAGTTTTGTTTCTACACTAAAATATTCTACACTAAAATTCTGACTTTGTAGAAAGGGGACACGATGAGGGGAGACCTCAAGGAAAAGGGCAACAATAAAGGGTAATGAAAATTAGAAACGACAAAATATTTCATGTTTCCTATCATGCAAAAATCTAGATTTAAATACATATGTACATGTGGGAGAGGAAGGGGACCAGTGAGAGGGGGCGAAAAGTACAAAGATATGCATAATGAGGTTCAGTGATTGAGGACTTGTTGCTCTCACAAAGGACATCCACACTGGGAGACTTACAACTAACTGCCTGTAACTCCATCTAGATCCAGGGAATCCAATGCCCTCTTTTGGCGTCTAAGAGCACCCACACACAACGTGACACACACATAAAGAAATCCATCTTTTAAAGTGACTATGGAAAGATTAATAAGAGAAAAACACTTTCTAAGATATGAAATGGCTAGATCATAAAGATTTACATTCCAGAGATAATCATACAGTTTCATACAACAATTAAATAACAAGCCTAAAGTATCCATCACTTGACTGTAAAACAAACAAACAAAACAACAACAACAAAAAAAAAAACAACATTTTTTTTCTTTTATCTCTGGAAAAAGGAGCCCAAACTCCTCAGAACTGTGAGAACTAACCTCCGAAATAGCATACTCTTATTCCGGAAGGCAGTTAGCTTCTCGTCATCCCTCCTGTCTAGATAGCATCCAAAGACAAATCCCACAGGGACAAGTATATGAACCCAGTGTTCACGCACAAGCTGAAGCAAGGTCATCGTGGCAGCTAAAACAGAGGGGAAAAAATGATTATAAAATACCACTGCCTTTGAAATATTGAAAGGTGGATAGGGATCACTAGGTCCTGGGAACAATACACCTTAGGAAGGGGACAAGAGCAGAAGGATGGATATTACCAATGCATGCCACAAGAATGGGGATTCCTGGGGCTGGAGAAATGGCTCAGAGGTTAAGAGCACTGACTGCTCTTCCAGAGGACCCGGGTTCAATTCCCAGCACCCACATGGCAGCTCACAACTGTCTGAAAATCCAGTTCCAGGGGATCTGACACCTTCACACCAATGCACATAAAAATAAAAAGATAAATAAATCATAAAAAAATTTTAAAAAAAAGAATGGGGATTCCTTTAATATGTACAAATAGTATGTTAGTAAATAATTACCCTTTGGTTTAGAGTTTTTTTTGTTTTTTTTTTTTAAATTTGAGACAAACTCAACCTTGCTACAATTACATTCTGGAGCCTACTGTGTAGACTAGGCTGACCTTGGGCCTGCCTGCTACAGGTGTTCCTAACTCTGCCTTCCTAGTGCTGAGATTACAGGTGTAAACTATCACACCTGGCTTAAAACAAATCATTTTTTAAATTGCTTCTGAAATTGGAAGATAGCTGTGGGCATGCCATGTTAAAAGCATAAGCCTCTTTAAGTTTGCTTGGCATCAGAATGCAATTGAAACCTAGATTAGGCGGTAACAGTTAGTATAAGGTTCACTGTGTGATGTATTGTGTGAAGGCGCTTACTGCCAAGCCTGGCTGAGACTGATCCCAGAACCCATATACATGGTTGAGGGAGAGAACCACTTCCACAGGTTATACTCTGACCTCTATGCATGCACATGCACAGAAATAAACCTAATAAAAATTATACTGTATCACACTATTCATGAAATCTTATTTACTTCATCAGTGATTTGATATGCTATAGAGCCAAGAAATGGAGAATTTTAAAAAATTTTACCTGAAAAATGAATATTTGCACTCTTTATGTTGCTTCAGAACTTCCACACAGGTAAAATATTCCTAGATGCTCTCACAATGCAAATGCAAAGTTAATACTATTTTATTAGGTTTGGTTTTGTTTTTTGAGACAGGGTTTTTCTGTATGTAGCTCTGGCTGTCCTGGAACTCGCTCTGTAGACCAGGCTGGCCTCGAACTCAGAGATTCGTCTGCCTCAGCCTCAAGTGCTGGGATTAAAAGTGTGTGCCACTACCACCTGGCTAGAATTTTTGAGTAAAGATAAATTTATTGAAAACTATTTTTTGAATAATTAAAAAATAATTGACAAGAGAATAATGCCACAAGGTCAGAAAATTAAATGACTATAAAAGATAAAAAGAGAAGAGGATTTTTTTGTTTTGTTTTGTTTTTTAAGAGAAGGTTTCTCTATAGCTTTGGAGCCTGTCCTGGAACTAGCTCTTGTATACCAAGCTAGCCTCGAACTCACAGAGATCTACCTGCCTCTGCCTCCCAAGTGCTGGGATTAAAGGTGTGCACCACCATGGCCTGGCGAACGTGTAGTAACTCTTACCTTCATTTTATATGGAATAAAAACAGCTTAACTGGGGCTGGAGAGATGGATCAGTGGCTAACATACTTGTTCGAACAGAGGATGGAGGTTCTGTTCCCAGGACACACATGCAAACTCACAACCATCCATAACCTCCAGTTTCAGGGGGTCCAATGACCTCTTTTCACATCCAAGGACACTAGGCTCAAATGTGGTGTGCACACAAACATGCTGACAAAACATGCAAAAATAAAATACACTAAAAAACCAACAGCTTAACTCAAGTAGCTATTACAACAAGCTACTGTTCCGATTCAGGAAACTCCAAACAATGCCTCCTGTGTCACAGCACACTTTCTCTCCTTGAGTTGATATTTCTCTTTAGCTTTGAACACTTTCCAATGGGCAGATGAGGAAGACCAGAACTGGGAAACAAGTAAAAAATAACAAATGTGTGCTGAATTCAATAAAAACACCACTGAATCACCAATTTTCTGTTAAGATTTGTATATACAAATGAAACAAAAACACATTCACATGCAAATGAATACATCACATACAGTGGCTGAGAGGACATGACAATCCTAGGAGAAACAATACATTACTGCTAGAAGTGCTTAGCATAACCTGTATTCGTCTTATGTAGATTCCATTTCTGCTTCATCTCCTGATATTGGTCTCTATATTAACACAATTCTGTTTGTCAGATTATAAGAACTTAGTATCTAAAGTCACAGTATTAGACGATAATCATGAAGTTAAACGTTGCAATTATATAGTTCAAAATATGTAATAGTCCTTATAGCAAATTCCAGTTTGAACATCACTGACTTTCTAGATCAGTTAAGATGTAGCACATGAGATGAATATATATTTACAACTTGTCCATCTGTTAGTTTTATATTGTAGTCTGTTGCTTAGCTACAGCTGAAATTCTCAACCTGAACTACACATCAGAACTACCTGGGGAGTCTTTTTGAACTAGAGAATCTTTGGCTTTACCTCCAGGATGAGACTGGAATAGTAAAGCCATTCCTACTGGCATTCTAAGAGATGGCTTTGGTCTGGCTCCATTCAGAAGAAAGATGAGTTAGGACTATGGGGGTCTTGCCGCATAAGGTCTTACAGACTCCAGAACAACTCATCCACTGATTTGGATACAAATGCATCTTGGAGATATAAATGTAAGTAAAACCAATCTTAAATAGAAGACAGTGGTTCTCTTCGCCTTTATTAAGTAGCGTAACATATTTAAAGTAGTTCTTGAATGCTAACCAAGGACTCACCAAGTGAACTATTTAACTTCTTTGTAAATCTGAGCCAGTCAAGAATGGAGATGGTAAAGACCTTTGATAATAAGGTGACATTACTTTAAAAGCACTTAACTACAAAATACTAGACAACGTTTACAATCATGAGACTGTGTTCAAGTTCGGCAAACTCAGTGGTCACCTACACTTCCTATACTTAATTGCAAACTTAAGGGCCAGAAGTGTACTCAGCAGGTAAAGGCACTGACCAACAGGTCTAAGGACCCAAGTCTGGTTCCTGGGACCCACATGAGAGAGAACTGACAATTGAAAGTTGTCCTCTAACCTCTGCACCAAGCATGCCACCACCTGCAGCATAAAGGCATGTATACACACATACACACAAACACTTGCATGCACACACACAAATATTAAGAAAAGTGTTAGCCTTATCGTTTATACAGCTGTTAGATATTATTTTGTATTACTGAGTATTTGCTGATTCCCAGCTCAGAGCAGTTTAAAATAAGCTCAGCCACCTGTAGGCTATGAGCCATTACCATTGGCATTCTAGAAATGGGTTTAGCCTGGCTCTATTTAGAAGAGATGAGAGAGGCTATGGGGTCTTGCCACATACCGGCTCTTATAGACTCCAGATGTAAGGACAGTGATACTAAGAAAAGGATTCTTTATAGAATCCATGGTTGGATCCAATCACCATGAAGGAATATCCCTAAGAGATAATGACAAATCTTAGTCCTAGAGAGGCGTCTCATATTACAGTGGTACAGTATATATTCAGTGGGCTTGGGGAGCAGTGCAGTGAATACTATCTGTGTGGATGGTTTCCTGCAAGTAGAAAAGCAGGAAGGACAAAGATGAACATCTGAGTCAGAATGAGGAAGAGGGGAAGTAGAGTGAGGATCTAGACATGGGCCCAAATCCTTAGAGCTTCATCTAGTGTAGACAAAGGTGGTAAGGACCTGGACAAGCTTCACTAGGCAAATCTAGATTTTGGGTGAGCTAAGAATTTTAGCAAGAGGACAGGGTCAGCTAACTGTTTTAAGGAATATATTCCTGGCTGGTACTTAAGAGAGCAATATATATATTAATCATCTCCTTTTATGTCTTCAGATTTTTTATATTTTTTAATTTTTTGAAAGTGTGTGTGTGCGCGCACATAACTACAGCTGCCTGAGACGGCCAGAGGCATCAGAACCCTTTGGAGATGGAGCTGTGAGCTACCCAATACAGGTGCTAGGAACCAAGCTCGGGTCCTCTGGAAAAGCAATAAGCACCAAGCCATTTCTCTAGCCCTACGGATGTCTTTTTGTATGAGGGCCCATAAAAAGAATTTTGTTTTTATTTCAGAATCTTAACTGTAGTATTTCTTTTTTTGTTGTTGTTTTATTTTGGGATTATTTTGTTTTGTTTTTCTAAACAGGGTTTCTCTGTGGACCACTGGCTATCCTGAAACTCTGTAGGTCAGGTTGGCCTTGAACTCACAGAGATCCACACCTGCCTCTGCCTCCTGAGTGCTGGGATTAAAAGCGTGCACACCATAGTAGTTTAACAAAAAGAACTGTTTCATGTTAGGGGATTAAAAAGTCATGCGTCTTTTCCTCCTGTGGGGAGTGGAAAGGAAGGAGGAAAAAGGAAGGGAGGATGCTAGGGGTTGCACTTGGCTCTCTCTGTAAAGCATATGCTTCAATATAGAGCTACACACTCAACCTTGGTCATGTAGCTTTTAAAATTAAAGTGCTCCTTTTTTTGGGGGGGGGGAGCTTCTAACGAGCTGAATCTTTTTTTTTTTTTGACAGTTACTGTATGGCATTGTACCCCTCCCTGCCTCATCCTCACAAACAGTTGGAATTACAGATGTGGGCCACTTGTAAGAGGTGTTTCTGCCTAATCACTAAATCATATAATCCTTACCACAGCACTGCAGGTTTGTTAAGTAACAATGTCTCAATGCAGTGGGCATTAATTTTTTTTTCAGATGAAGAAATCCAAGTTCGGTTATGGTAAAGTAACTTGCTTTAGATTACAGAGTGAAGAGTCGGGATTAGCACAATACCCAGCCAATCTTTATCCAGACACGGCTTAAACTCTGTGTACTATTGTCTCCTTGTATATACAAAGATAAACATCTAAATAACTTACTTTTTTTTTTTTTTGGCAGAGCCTCGCTGTGTAGCCTAGAACTCGCTATATACACCAAGCTAGTCTCAAACTCACAGGCACACACCTGGCTCTGTCTCCTGGGCACTGGGATTAAAGGAGTGCATCACCACACCTAGCATTTGTTTGTTTTTAAAAGAAACAAACAACAACAAAAAGCCCACATTTTCTCTATATTTTTCTCTAACACAATTTTTTTTTTCTTCCATGAAAACAGAAACCGGTGTCTTATTTTGGTGAGTCCACTCCGGATTCTCTTTAGAAACACAGACATTTTAAGAGATATACCACGTATCTAACTGGATCCCAGAGTACCTTATAAGTACTGCTCACAAAGTGTCGCCTAAGCCATGGAAAAGAGCTAAATGCGTAAGGCAATGGAACCCTTGAGATCGTGACGTACACAAGCTGGAAATCGAGCATAAAGTCGTGTTTTTAAAAGGCAAATGGATTTCCTATTTAGGAGTGTGAAGTTGGGCTAGGAGGCAGGTATCTGGGCCTGTGCAAACGTGCGCTGCTTCTGGTTGGGAGCCACGGTCCCTGCTGTGTCCTCTGCAGTCCCGGCGGTCCCCAAAGACGCTTTGGGGTAAGCCAGCCTCGGAGCACCCTTGGTAAGCGGTGTGGAGTGGGCAGCCCGTAATGGTCCCCCGGGGGCGACCCTACTTTCCCTCCACGCGAGCCTTCCCAGAACGCTCCCTCCTGCACCACCGCGACGGGTGACACCCGGGCCCCCAGACCCACCTGCAGCCCGGTGCCGAGCACGACCCACGACCAAGGGCAGCGGTAGGGAGCTAGGCCACCAGCGCTAGCGGAAGCGGTGACCTAAGGAGCTGCCACTCTCCGCGCCAGCCCTGAGGAGAGGGGTGGCGACGTCAAATCAACGCCTCTCTGTCTTCTCACGAGTGATTCCTCTAATTTTTAAGCTTTCAGTACTCATGAGAGGTTCTGAATAAAACTTGGATCGAAGCTGACAAGACTGGTGAGCTTTTGCGCTGTCGTCTTCCCCAACCCGGTTCCCCGCCACCCCCACAGATGGTGTCGCCCGGGTCGTCCCCGCCTCAGCCGCTCGCCTCAGGCCCAAGATGGCGGCCACCACGCAGGGGCTCCTGCCGGCCGCTCTTCGCCGCTGAGCGCGCGCCTGCTTTGCTCGCTCTCGAACTTGCGTTTTATCGGGGGTTGGGAAGGGCGGTGGACGGTGCTGGGGGAGCCCGACCAGGCAGGTGAGCACGGGAAAAAGAAAAGAGCCTTCGGGTCTGGGTGGAGGCCCTCGGAGGACTGGGTTCCTGCACCGGCCCGGTGTCTCCCTGACGCACTCCCGCGGTTTCGGTCGTGACCGTCTCCGTGGTTCCTGGAACAAGCGTTCCGCGAGGGGAAAGAAAAGTGACTTTTTCACGGGTCGAAACCTCGGAATGTTTGTAACGCTCCTATGAGTCCTCCTACTGACCTTCCATCGTGTTGGAGCTAAGAGTCGGAAGCCGAGTCCAGCCTGGGCTCCTTGCCGTGGTGCCGCGGTACCCGCAAGCCTTTCCTGCCCGTTTTGGGTTCAGAGACCACGAGGCCAAGGGTCTCAAAACCCTTGAGATGTTTGTGCCTCGTCTTGTTAGAATTTTCGCTCAGTGCTTCCACGATCATTGCGTTTCCCAAGACCTTATTCTTATTTTCCTTGTTTATATACCTTTCAGGAAACCAGAGGTCAAACCCCAATAATCTAACCCCCTGTGACTGGGAGAGTTTAAGCCACGATCTGTACCTACCTTCCAACCTTTAATGTACAACTAACTCCCTTGCCTCTTTTAAAGCCCTTCTTTACCTGAACGATTAAGGAGAGATTTCCCCTACTCTCTAAGCCCCAGGACTAGTCCAGACCCATCTTTGTTCTTGGATTTTGCATACTTCTCCTTGGTTGTCCTCAACAGGCACGATCATTCTTGAGAAAGCAAGTATATATTTGGGATAAAGCAGAGAAAGTCAAAATCACTACTCTGGAGGAGTTTCACTGCTTTCTGCTTGCATTTATTTATATTGCTGTGGGTGCCGTGCTTGGTTTGGGTGATGTGACATTCAGCATCCGTTCTGCAAGTATTCTTTGTGCCTCCTTCGTGCTAAGTAACCAGGCAATCAACTTTACCTGGGGACAATGAAAAGGCTACACCTGAACTAGAGCAAAAGGAATTTGCTAAGCCCGGGAAAACAAAGTCACTCCTGGATACAGAGCCAGGATTAAAAACTTGAGAAGGTTGGGCATTGTTAAGGGAGATTTAAAAAAAAAAAAAAACCTGCAAGAATGGTTGGTGAAAACTGAAGGTGCGAATTGGAGGTTGAGGACAGCTTGTGAGGGGTCTTGATTTCCACTTTGGATTGTATTCAGTATTTAGCAGGAAGCTCCTGCATGCTTGGGGGAGTGGGCATAAGGGTATGGAGGACCAACTTGAGGCAAGAACTCTAGATGAGATCGCAGTCATTCAGGGAAGGCAGCAAGCACCTCCATTGAGGCAGGAGAAGAAAGACCAAGAGAAATGAAGTAAAAGCTGCATAGTGGTCTAACTTGTGAGAACTGATTTGCTGGTGGGGGTGGCTAGTTGTTAGCTGGGGAGCCTTCATGCTTGGTGGTGCCATTAAAATCCAGTCTGAGCCGTGTACCTAAAAACAGGGTGGTGCCAGCTTTGCTCTTTAGCAGTGGCAAAAACACAATGTGCCCCCGTCTAAAGCATTGGTCTTGGAGTATAGGCCTCTTCTGTTACAGTAGCCACCAGCCACGTGCAATATTGAGCTCTTGAAGTGCTTTTGAACAGACATGTACTGGAATTTGAAGATAGTACAAAGACAATGGAAACTGCCTCAGTAAGTGATCACATGTTGAAACGATGATTCGGACACCGTTAAATAAAACATTAGGCTTTTTAAAAAACTTAACCTCTTTATTTTTAAATGTGGCTATGAAAAATTTAGATTACAACTCTTGCTCGAATTATATTGTTATGGGAGAGGGATGAGTAAGGAGGCAAAATTTAATGTAGACCCTGAGAGAATGAAAAACCAATGTCAAGGCAATGTCCTGGTGATGCCTCACCTCACTTGCCGGTAATAACACTTATTTATCTTTATTTTTCCCCCTCAGCCAATAAGACATTTTTAAGTTTTTTTTTTATTTTAAACTTTGCGTACCACAGCACACAGATGAAGGTCAGAGACAGCTAGCTGGAGTAGGTGCTCTCCTTCTACCATGTGGGTACAAGGGATTGAACAGATTCACTTAACCACTGAGCTATCTTGCCATCTCTGCCTTCAAAGACTTTTGAGCAAGGGGTAATGTGTGTAGGGATGTTTTAGATGAATCTGACCTTTTTTAAAAAAAAAAAAGCTACAGAAAAAGAAATGGAGAAAGTCAAGTGTAAGGTAATGAGGCCTGACTTTGAGGTGTTGACAGGAACAGAAAAGGGATGGTATATGTGCGAGGTGTTCTGAGGGAGAAAACTCAGAATTGATAGGGGACAAATTGATATTTCCCAGAGAAATAAAGAGAAGGCCTTCAGCTGTGGCTCCTTAGCGAAAAACTAATGAATTGATAAAGAAATATGAAATACAGTCAGGACAAAAGACGAGAATCAGCGAAGTGGAGAGAGGAGTTTAGGAATCTAATTAAGGACTTTCCCTTTTCTGTGTCTTGCGTCCATTAGTGTTCGATCATGCACATCGCCTGTTTTCCTTCAGTACAGAGTTGCCTCTATCGTGCCCTCTTCCTGTTAATGAATTTTTAAATTAAGTTTATCATTGCCTGTGGTACTAGATTCACGGTACCCAGGGCCCTTCAGCTGGGCCTGTCCTGCACATTAGGCCAGTCTGTCTGTTTCTGTGTAAACATGGCAGGCTGAGTTCTTCCCTGACACCTGTCTCTTGCTTTGTGTTTTGTGTCTTAGCTGATGTTATTCCAATCTTTGGAACATCTTTTCTCTTTCTGCCCTGGTCTTATAAATCTTTAATAAGTAGTCCTAGTTCTTTTAATATCAGAAGTAATTGAGAATTTTTAAAATTCACTTTCTACACTGTGTATGTAAGCAGTTTACAACCAATTTAGATTGTTTTGTTTATATGTTTTATCCCTTTAGTAAATTTAACTCCTTACAATTGTTTCCCTTTTTAGATTTATTATTTTATTTAATGTGTGTGAGTGTTTTGTCTGTATGTATGTGTGTCACGTATGTGTCTGGTGCCTTTGGAGTTTAGGGCTTTGGGTCCTCTAGAACTGGAGTTAAACCGCTGTGTGGGGACTGGGAACTGAACCCAGGTCCTCTGTAAGAACAGCAAGTGCTCTTCAGTGCTGAGTCCTTTCTTCAGTCCCAATGTTTCCTTTTTAAAATGGAACATATAGGGCCAGTCATGATTGCACATTCCTAGAATCCTAGCATTTGAGAGGCTGAGGCAGGATAAAGAACCTGAGGCCTTTTGGACTATATAGTCCATTCCAGACCAAACTTCATGGTAAGAACTTGTCTCAAAAACAGACAAACAAAAAGCATGTGCTCCTTCTGCTCACGATCCTAGAGAAAGACAGAAATTAAAACACCATGGTTCTAAACATATTACATATTACATTGCCAAGACTGTTTATTTTTTTTAAAAAAAAAAGATTTATAAAAAACTTTTCTGGATTTGTATTTTATCTTGTCTTTGGCTGAGATATCAGTAAGTAATGAATGTCTGATAAAGATACATATTTACCATAAGGATCTACATGATACTTTCCATATGTTGAATTCTGGTACTTCTGTAAAAGTTTTAATGGGGATTCATTCAGTTATATCTGAAAGCACTTTGTATTTTGAGTTTATAATTAAATAACACTGAGAACTGAAGTATATTTAAAGAGTTGGGTGTTGAGCTCAGTGCTAGGGCACTTGCTTAACATACATGGGACCCTAAGTTTGAGTTCAAGCACTGCCCCCTCCAAAATAGAAACTTTAGGGAAAATATTGCCTAGATTCTCTTCAAAACTGTATTTATAAGCATTTTTATAGAGTAGAAAATTAAGCCAGACTGGGCGGTGGTGGCGCACGCCTTTAATCCCAGCACTCAGGAGGCAGAGGCAGGCAGATCTCTGTGAGTTCAAGGCCAGCGTGGTCTACAAGAGCTAGTTCCAGGATCCAGGACAGTCTGCAAAGCTACAGAGAAATCCTGTCTCAAAAAACCAAAAAAAAAAAAAAAAAAGAAGAAGAAGAAAAGAAAAAGAAAGAAAAGGAAATTAAGCCAGCAGCCATAGTGCTGCACGCCTTTAACCTTGAGGCAGAGGGAGGTAGATCTCTGTGAGTTCAAGACCAGCCTGGTCTATATAGTGAGTTCCAGGACAGCCAGGGCTACATAATAAGACCCTATCTTGAAAACAAATAAACCAAAAGGATAGAAAATTTTGTGTTTATTTCTCATACCTCAAGTAAGTAAGTAAATCAGTGTATTTCAGATTTTAACTTATTATTAGAACAACTACTATGTACTTCTGCTAATTAATACATCAGATGACTTAAGTCTAGTCAGGTGGATTACCCAGGCCTATGATCCTAGTATTTGGGAAGGGGAAGGGTAGGTAGGAGGATGAGGAGTTTAAAGTCGCCTTTTGCTACATAGAGAGGCCATCTACATTATGAGTGGCTCAAAAACATAATAAACCAAAGAGAACTGGAGCTGTTAACTATAGACCCCGCATTACCTGCTGAGCCATCTCTCTGCTTTTACCAGTTTATAACAAAACAGTGTTCATATTAATCCTTTTGGAAAATGTGTGGTAGGCATCCCCACATACATTGCATCGGGTGTGTGTTGAATGCTTTGTGTCAGGTTTTGTTTGGGGAATTGAGAAC